GCCTCCTTTGCTGGATTAGAGCATTGGAATGCATCTTCCACATCAGTTATGACAGCCAAGTGATCCTCTAGTACAGCAGAATTTGAGACATCTGGATGTATGTATGTGATTTAAACCAGCACTGGGCTCAGAATATTTAGAAAAATGATCCTCAAGAAATCATAACCCTCCATAATTGCAAACACAAGAAAGCCCAACATTGCAGAGGGCAAGCTTACTGCGATTCTGGAGAGACATAATATGCATGTAATAAATTATATGTAGGATCCCCACAGTGGAGGAAGGAAATACAGGGCCTTCTTTGTGGTAGCCTCTTCCCTGTTGTTGTTGTTGTTTTAGAGATAGCCGAGCAGTGTTTCATAAGGGCTTTGACATTGATTGATTGATTGATTGATTGATTGGCTGGTTGCCTTTATTCTGTTGGTTGTGCTGATTCTACTGCAGTTTACTGTGGCTGGTTTATTGATTTGATTTGTCAGATTTATTGGATGCTGTTTTATTGTTGTATTTTGTAAACCCCAACATATATATTTGACTATCAGCATAAAATACTTAAATTAATTAATATATTCACTGCAGCATAGAACTTTAGCAAGCAATCTCAAGTTCTTCTACATATGTAAAGACTTAGAAATCCTTTCTTACAGTTTATTTTTCTTGGGTGCTTTAATCATGTTTAAAGGAAGGACATGTTGATAAAGAAGGGACTCTAAAAGTCAGGCATATTTACGATCAAAGTTCTTATGTGAAATGTACTTTCTAACATTTTCCAACATGTTGCAATTTATGCAAAAGGAGACAGTTGACTATTAAGTTGGTGCTTAATTATAGCCATTCAAGTTTTGATTCCTGTGTGAGCAGCTGCACTGCTTTATTATAAATTTGATGACCCTGTCATAATGTGTGAGACTTTAGAGGTTTCCAATGTCTTCATCAGTTCTCAAATTGATTTATGGGTTATTGCTGACGCAGCCCATGGCTTCACCTACAGCACCAAGGAATGTTATTATATAGAATCAATGGGCCAATAAAATGGGGAATGAAAATAAGAGATGCAGAAGCATTCTGCTACATTCAGTTCGTTTGAATGAAATTAGCTGAAACGTTTCCAAGCACAGGCAAGCACGAATATGCTACTTTCTGTACAGATTGCACAAACGCTCTCCTGGAAATTGCATTAGGAGAAGCAATTTGGTGCTACTAAAGTCCAGACTAGACTATTAAGTAGTTCCCCCATCCCCACGTCACAAAAATCTCTTGGTTTCAGATTTCTTTGTGGGAGCAGTTTCAAGCAAACTATGTTTTGGTGGGTTAGAGAAATGATAATCTCGCACTGGCTTTTGCTACAGCTGAATTCAAACCATTGCAAGCACTCTAGGTCACATAGGCTGTGCAAAACTGGAGGGGGTATACCCCCAGCTGTAGGAATGCCAAACCCATAGAACTCCAAAAAAAGTTGATGGGCATGGCGATTCAAATAGCGTGCATGCAGTGTCATGTGATTTGATTATGCAAGGTGGGGCTTACTGTTGTTAACCTGTATATTACTAGTCACCGTATCTGTTTGCTTTAAAAGAGAGCTCAAAAGCTTATCCCAATTTTGTGACGTTTTGGTTGGTATTTATTTATTTGCTGTTCAATGCCAAGATTGGCTTCTAAGTGGTTTTCAAAGTCCCATACAAACAAAGTTCTTCCCCCAGTTATGGATTTTAGAGGTTTCCCCCCCTTATGGACCAGCATGGGCTACTTTTGCTTTTCATTTTATTATTAATAAAAAATATTTTTATTATTATCAGGAAATAAAGCATGCACAAAGAAATGATTGCAATTGGTCTGAGGCTTAAAAAATTATAGAGGGTCACCCAGAGATACCCAAACTAGGATGTTTCTCTGCCCTTTTAAAAATATGCATGGTTAGTTTTCTAGTTTGTCACATAAGCACTACTGCCATCGTGTGGTGAGCCAAGACAAATTCTTTGAATCGGGAGTGGTACAACAAAAAGAGAACAGAACTCTTGGAAGCCTCATGTCTCATTTGATTAAAATACTCATGCCCAATATCTAGAACATACACGCACAATTAACACAGGCCTCAAAACAACGGCGATGTTGCAGTTTCACACTTCAGGGAACTTTTCTTGTCAGGTATTAGATCTGCCAACATACATGTAGGGTGACTGTAGGCCAAACTAAATCAAATGTTTACAGCACATGACTTCTCCCAAGGAATCCTGGGGGTTGTAGTTTGTTAAGGGTGCTGAGACTTGTAACTCTGTGAGAGTAAAACTACAGTACCCAAGATTCTTTGGAGGAAGTAACGTGCTTTAAATATATTGTGAGTATGCAGCCTATGGGTTAAGAAACATTGTTCAAAGAAAATGGGCTGCACTTCTTTGACAAGTCTTATGTGTTCTTTGCCTAGGTTTTTTTTAGGACCATTATGTAACTCAGTCTATGCTGCTGGCAAAAACTTGACTGTCCGTAGATATATATTGTTATAGGACTTGTAGATGCTAGAATTTAATTAAGGCTTGTGTGTTAAAGCTGTGTATCAGACCCCCAAGTCTTAGAATGTAATCAAAGCTAGTGTGTAGTAGACACTTCTAATCCTTAAATTAGCATGTGAGAAAGACTAATTCCATAGGCAAGCTTCCTAAATTGTGTATTAGACACTTCTAGGCCTAGGAAATTAACATGTATGATTATTTCCTTTGATGAGTTAGCCTGGGGTAATGGGTCGTTAACAAAAGAGGATTAAAGGGGAATCTGGCCTCTCCCAGTGTTACAAAAAGCAGGGGAATAGCTTAGCAAGAGATGTGGCTTGAGGGAGCAACGCAAGTGGCAGGGCAAGGATGCTGCTGTCCGTATGGGAGAATCAGGGGCCCTCTTGGGTTGTACGGTATATACAGTCATACCTCATTTTGTGATAGGTTCATGTTGCGTGTTTTTGGGTTGTGAACACGCATGCACAGAAGCGTTTTGCACGCTTCGTGCTTGCGCTGAAGCACCGCTCTAGTTGCGGACTTTTCGGGGTGCGAATGGCACCCCAGAACAGATTGAGTCCAAAACTAGAGGTACCACTGTACATGTAAACAAACCATATATCATAAAGACACCGCAGTCTCCGCTGTGCCTCATTGTCCAAAAGAAAACACAGACTTGCTGTCAAGTGTGCCTGGAACTCCCTGGAATCTTGGGGGTGGAGCTTGGGGATGGCATGTAGCAGTGTATTTCCAGGCACAATTCAAAGGGCTGGTTATGAAGCCGTCTGGCTTAGGCCCAGGCTATCTGAAAGACCATATTATCACATATGAACCTGCCTGGGCTGAGAGATCTTCAGAAGAGGCCCTTTTCTCTGCCCTTTCACCATCACAGGTGCAGATATGGGAGAGGGCCTTCTCAGTGGCTGCTCCCAGGCTTTGGAATGCCCTTCCTCGAGAGGCCAGACTGGCTCCCTCATTGCTGGCAAGTGAATTTTTTTATTTCAGCAGGCTTTAGGGAACTGACCTAAAAATAACTTTTAATAGCTGCTTATGTACAGTGGTACCTTGGTTCCCAAACAGCTTGGCTCCCGAACACCACAAACCCAAAAGTGTTCTGGTTTGCGAATGTTTTTTGGAAGCTGAACATCTGACGCGGCTTCCACTTCAGTGCAGGAAGCTACTGCAGCCAATCGGAAGCCGCGCCTTGGTTTTCGAACAGTTTCAGGAATCAGACTCCTGGAACAGATTAAGTTCGAGAACCAAGGTTCCACTGTCCTAGATTCGTTTACTAGAATTGATAATTTTTATATCATTTTAGTTCTATTATAATTACTTTTTCGCTGTTCTCTTTTATGCATTTAGTTTTCTGTGTATTATAATAGCTAATAAACCCAACCTGGAATTTGCCCTCTTGTTTTCTGCAAGCATTCCATCTGTGGCTACATGATAGAATCGAGATAATCTTCTAACCAGAGAATGAACAGCTACTAGGAGCCTAGTACCATTTGTATTTGCCGGGGGGGGGGGCGGTACCATAGGGGCACATAAATTGGACTAAAGATACGGTACTGGAGGTGGGCTGCACTTTTAAATCCATCATTCCATGCTGTTTTGTAAGCCTGAATTCAATAGTGGATAACATGGTTGGGCATCTCCACTTTCCTTACTTCCGGTTGGTTGCCACTGCTTAATGGGAGACAGAAAGGGAGGGGCTAGGCAATGGTAGCCTAGTGCAAATATGCCAGCAGAACCAATTTGCACTGAACTGACCCCTCCACTTCCCATTAATATAAGCAGCAGCACCATGACTAACCCGATTCAAGGTGAGCAGGATTGCATGTTCCTCCCCACCCCATTGCTGTTTGCTTCTCTGCAGAAAATATGGAGGAAGGTACAATTTAGGCCAATAAAGTAGCCTAGAGCTTGCCGATCAGAAGGTCGGCAGTTCAAATCCCCATGACGGGTGAGATCTCGTTGCTCGGTCCGCACGTCAAAGTGCAAGTAGATAAAATAGGTACTGCTCCGGTGGGAAGGTAAACGGTGTTTCTGTGTGCTGCTCTGGTTTTGCCAGAAGTGGCTTAGTCATGCTGGCCACATGACCCGGAAGCTGTCTGCAGACAAACGCTGGCTCCCTTGGCCAGTAAAGTGAGATGAGCGCCGCAACCCCAGAGTCGTCTGCGACTGGACTTAACAGTCAGGGGTCCCTTTACAATTCAGGCCAATAAAATAGCCTGGGGTTAAATGTCCCTTCTCTACTGCAGCTGCAACCCAAAATGGATGCCCATGTAAGATGCTTTTAATAAAAAGTGGTTGTGGTAGGGAGAAATGTCAGGAGCCCTTATAATGGACATGTTGAACTGCATCTCATTTGGCCCCGGCAGAGGGAAGAGATGCATGGGATTGCTGTGATCAACTGTGTTCAGAGTTTAGGAATTATTAAATACATGGTGGCTGGCAGTTTTGCAAGAAACAAAAAGAAGCAGTCCCTTTTACTTTTGGCTTTATGTTTATTATTTTACAAAGATTAGGAGTTATCTAATTTAAGTATAAAAATATGCCCCCCTCCCCCGTTCAAATAGTGTGTGCTCTTAATAGTTTTGAATGCAGAGTGTAGCAAAGAACCTAAGACAGGCAGAGAGCAATTTCTAACCAGTGAAGACCCACAAGCAATTGAGACGTTAATACGAAGATAAGAAACTAGCAGTGCAATGATATAAACATGAAGCAGCTTTACATTATCAAAAACAATACAGCTTTTTAAATACAGAAATAGCACCTTTTACAAAAGGAACTGAGATATGTAAACGTGGTATATTATATTATTCAAGTATTAAGTTATACACACACTCTCCCCCCTGCAAACGGGTTAGTGCCATAGTACCAGAGTTAAGGTTTTTCACAAGCCCTGAAATCCTGCACAAGTCAGTGCATGAGCACTTGCATCAGTGCAAATGAATGCTTGCCTCTGCTGAAGCAGTTTTGCCACAGGTTCTGTGAAACAGGAGTCATAAGACAAAACACCACATTCTGGGTCACCAGACCTGCAGGCTCCTGCTTCCACCACCAAAAGCTGCAGTTTCACACTTGCTTCTGTTTACAACCAGTCTTTTAATAGTAAAAAGGTCGGCCCCAGAAGCAAACCTTGGCCTGTTCACACCACCGCTTTGGCTGCCACCAAATCTGATTCCCCTTTCACTAGCTATATGCAACAGGTCTCGCTTCATGCTGGTGCACAGAAAATTTGAATCTAGCCGATTCTCCAGTTCACGCAACCCAAGTATCTTTAACTTCCCTCTCCTCCTCACACCTTGCTTGCAAATACAGCTGACAGAGGTAGTGGCAAGCCTAGCGCAGCCTACAGTCTTAATCTTCCAGCCTAGGGATAAAGTGGCAGCGGTTTGTAGATGTTCGTGCCTTACAGATAGCTTTTTTGCCCTGGTAGTTCTGTGATGCTCGATGTTCAAACAATCACTTCACCACTTCCTATGCTGTCACCAACGCAGCTAAAATATGCCCAAGAAAGCAAGTACAGTCGTACCTCGAAAGTCGGACGGAATCCGTTCTGGAAGTCCGTTCGACTTCCAAAACATTCGGAAACCAAGGCACAGCTTCTGCAACCCAGAAGTTGCAGAACCAATGTTGGACGTTTGGGTTCCAAAGAACGTTCACAAACAGGAACACTCACTTCCGGGTTTGCTGCGCTCGGGAGCCAAAACCTTAAAGTCACAAGGTGTTCGACTTCCGAGGTACTACTGTATTGGTTACTGAATGTATAGTTCTATTGATCATGAAAAAACAAGACATACTGTCTTTTAATGTTTTAGAATCAAGAGTTTTTCCATCAGCCTTAATTGCTGAGAACCACCCCTTTATTGCCACATGTAATGCATATGGAGGAGGGATTACTAATTAAGAGCAGGCACACCAGCTATCTTTCTGTTAAGAGAAACAGTATCCTTTGAGCAAAAGAGGTACAGACTTGAGTACACCAGTAAATCAGGCACCTGCCGCAATTATGCTTGGCAACAGTTGTTACTAAACAGAAGATTACACTTCATGTGGGAAAACTTGAATGTGGGTGAATAAAACAATGCATTGGGTAAAAGTCACAAAAATGTGAAAATTCTGTAGTGTAAAAAGTTTTGTTTTAAGGTCCTCTTCCTTCATGTTCTTCAATCTCCTATTGTGATTGAACTAAAGAGATTTAAGAAACATTAAGTTGCACTACACTCCTTGTAAGGCTGTTATTGGTCTATTCTAACATAAAAATACAATATTCCCAAATTATTTTGCAGCTCTAAAATTAATTACTTAATTTTCATAACACATTCATTATTCAAAACTAAATGAACCAAAATATCTTGTCACACAAAACCATTGTTCTTTCTTAAACCTGGTGAAATGAAAGTTCAGAAAACTTTTCTGACCTCAAGAAACGTACATCATGGCTACAAAGTCATCCCTAGGTGAAAAAGAAGAAGAGCCAGCCACACTATCTATTTACTTGATTTAAAAATGAAAAATATCATGATGAATTTTCTTTTAAAATCAGCAATGAATGTCACGTTAAGTCTATGAAACTGGTGAAATAAATGCAAAAGTATGCACTGCCCAGTTAATTTGTAAGAAATTAACCCATTTCCAGCAGCAGACTCTAAACTGACTTGTTTCCTTTCTATAGTGTAAGTAAATGAAGAGTGGCCCATAAATTAATGCAACCCTTTCACTGATCACTCCCTAATTTTTCTATTTCCATGCTGGGATACAGATCCTCTATTTCTTTCTGTCATAAATCCAATCTTTCCTCAGCAGCCACTCATGCCATAAATACCGTGCTCAAAGGATTATCTTGATGAAAACTAGACCTGTTATTGTGTAATTCATACAAGTCCACATTATAGGCAAATCTGCCCAACTAAGCTTCAGAGCCAGTGGCAGAATTACAGAACATGCTTTGCCATATATTGAACCTTGGCTCAATAAGAAAAACACAGTGGTACCTCGGTTGTCGAATATAATCCGTTCCGGAAGACTGTTCCAACTTCTGAAACGTTAGACAACTGAGGCACAAAGGGCGGTCAGTGGTCAGTCAATGGAGGAAAAAAAACGCAGCGGAAGCCATTCGACTTCCAAGGTGCATCAAAAACAGAAGCAATTAATTCTGGGTTTTCGGTGTTCGGCTTCTGAAACATTCGGTTTCCGAGATGCTTGAAAACCGAGGTACCACTGTATATGGGATTGTCACTGCAATCCTTTACACTTACCTGGCAGTAAACCCCATTCTATTCAATGGGGCATATTTCCAAGTAGTTAAGTACAGAATTACACTACAGTGGTACCTTGGTTCTCAAACGGCTTGGGTCCTGAACAAATTGGCTCCCAAACGCCGCAAACCTGAAAGTAAGTTTCCAGTTTGCGAACGTTTTTTGGAAGCTGAACGTCCGACGCAGCTTCCGCTTGACTGCAGGAAGCTCCTGCAGCCAATCGGAAGCCGCAGCTTGGTTTTCGAACGGTTTTGGGAGTCGAACGGACTCCCGGGATGGATTAAGTTCGAGAACCCAGATACCACTGTATATTTAAACTAGGGATGAATTTCTACCACACACACTTCAGAGATTCCTTATTCTTGAAGCAACCTATTACACCCTCTGTAGTATTGGGGACAGGCATTTGTATCAACTGATAATTAGCTGGTACGTTTTGTGCAGAAAACAAGGACACAGAGAAACTACGAAGTTCACTAATACAAACCCCGCTGAAATATTTTAAACTTCACAGTTGTTTTGGTCTTAAAGTATTTCACATGAATACATTCACTCCTACTGTAAGTTATCAGACGTCTCCGCTTTTAACAAATGCAGGGGAAACTGTACATCAATAACATTCAAGTACTCCACAAAAGTCTGTTTTTCTGAAGTTGCAATACTTCAGTGTTGTGGCAAAGAAGCACCGGCTCCTACACTTTTTTTTTTACTTAGAGGTCCCCCTTGGCCTATCCTGCATACTTAAGCAGGATAGCGTGTTTGTAAAAGAGCATTTCCCCTATATAAGTGCTAGCCAGCTTCCCCCAGTTTTGGACTTCGGAACAGACCCTGGTAAACCTGTTCACATAACTGATCACTAATGCGATTTTATAAACTTCCCAAAGAGAACCTGATGCTCCCGTGTATCAGCATGCACATAATTCAGATTTTAACGGGTATTAATATTTCCACAGCTGGGGTGATTCACGAGGAAGAACGTCAACAGCGTAGTTGGCAAATGAACAGTGGCCAAGCGTGCCTGTTTTTAAAACCTCTTCTCTCCTTTTTATGTAATAACTGATTATTTCTGTAAAAAAAGTTTAAGGCTCTGCATCCTAAGCTGCCCACACCTCTGCTGTGAGCGGGATTAGTCAGAGCTGTTGCTGGAGATCTCTAATCTTCTTTGAACAGAGCTTGCCGTTCTGCTCTGGTTGCCTTCGCTTTTCCGCCATGCCACAGGGTCTTCAAGGCTGCCAGGGGTCTTGAAAAACACTTCTTGGGGTGTGGAATGCATGTTCTTAGGAGTCAGCGGGGCTGCAGAAGACTATTTGTAGGGAGAGACAAAAGCAATTCAGTAGCCGTTCTCTTTCAAATCCAATTCATCTAGCTCAGAGGTGGGGGGAACCTGTGGCCCTTTAGATACTGCGAGGTTACAGCTCTCATAATCTCTGACCCTTGGCTATTCCGGCTGAGGCTGTAAAGAGTTCAGCATCATTTTGAGGTTCCCTGCCTCTGCAATCACTAAAATGAGTTGCAGATTGAGGTTGAATGGAGCGAGCAATTTCTAGATGGTAGCCATGGTCCTATAACCGGTCTCTTCCCCCATTAGAACTGTTGATTTGTTTTGGTGGAAAAACCATGGGTGCAAGGAAGTTTGTCCCTCAGCCTATTTGAATTTGACCACCACACAGAACAGAAACCATTCAAATCTTGTATGAATGAATGTATGCCACTATGAACAGTTCAGGACAACGCCTGTATTAGCAGCACTTACCCAAATATCTAATTATCCCAGCCTTTAAGAGGCTCCAGCCAAAAAAACAAAGCTGGACTCCACTCACAAGAGTTCCAGAGAATGATAGTGTTTAACATTAAAACAAGAGTGCTTAACTTTTAAGCATGCACTCAGTTGTATAGGATTGCATTAATTCGCCCTAGTTGCATGGTTCCTGATTGGGTGGCACCCCATAAAAAGGAATTCCTTTACTGAAATCAACAAGAGAGTTACTGTGGTCTAGGGGTTAGTGTCAGATTAAGACTTAGGAGACCAGTGCTCAAATCCCCACTCAGCCATGAAACTCAATGAGTGGCCTCAGGCCAGTCACAGCCTAAACCACCTTGCAGAGTTGTGGGGATGAAAGAAAGAAGGGGAAAACCTTGAGCAACTTGGAGAAAAAGACGGGATAGAAATACAATAAATACATATAACCTGTATAGGTCGTAAGTCCATATATGTGCTGGAGCTTATTATAAAGATGAGTGACTTTTCCCTATGTGAGTGAGGGGAGGAGAATCCTAAATCCTAGCTTCATTTATAAATAAGCACCTGGCTGATTTCATAAATAGGAACTGCTGTTTACAAAATAATAAAATAAAACGTTTAGCAATTTTATGATCTTTAACGTCCACAAAAGCACCAGTTTTGAAATGCAAGGTGATTTGGTTTAAACAGATGCATTTTATGCGCTCCCAATCTGAGCTTCATTCACACCCAGTCTTTGCATTCTCACCTGCTGGAATTTCAGGAGGGTGACTGGGTGCCCCATGCAAACCGGCGAGTCTGCTTTAACGGAGCCGCAGGCAGACCCGAGGACAGGGCTCAGGTGTACAGCTGGCTGAATCTGCTGGTGTGGCTCCAGGGTTGGTAGCTGTGCTGAATTTGGAGTGACGACTGCTGCTGGGGTCCCAATGAAAACAGGTGTTGTAGGTGCCAGGCCAGGCATTCTGAAATTCATGCACGTGACATTTGGGAAGGAGCTGGCAGGAGCGGAAGTAAGTTGGCTTGTGACTGCCGGGGAATAGATGAGAGGGAACGGTGCCAAGGCTGTAGATGGAACCATCATACAGGGAACGTTAAGCGAAGGCAAACGGCTTGAAGACAGGTTGACGGGACCAGGAGCTTGGTTGGCAGGAAACAGGAAATTAAACCCATTCAGTCCTAAACAGAGGGAAGAACAGAGGCAGACATTTGCAGTTAGATGAGACAGTAACTGGCGGGATTCGCCTAGTTGGCCACACCAGTGTAAACCCTGTTCGACTTCTGCTTGCACAATGGGGTTCTCCTCCCCCAAACTGACTCGTGTGTGTGTGTGTGATGAAAACCTCCAGACCAAAATACTGGGGAAATGAGACATTGAATTCCACCCACTGTATATCCTTTTCTCTTGAGAAAGGGCCACGGTTGGTTCATGGGCTACAGGTTCTCCAGCTCTGCTGTAGATTACGTTGACAAACTACTGGCCATAGCAGCTGGCAGGGATGAGAGTTGGGGGGCACAGCACCTGGGGTACCACCTTGCTTGCTACTCTTTCTACAGGGTATGAGTGTTAGGCTTGAAAAATAAAAAAATCTGGACAGCTTCTGCTAAGCTTTACGAAGTAGAGATGATCTAGTAGACAGATAGCCTGACTTCTCCATGCCATCCCAGACTTGGGGCAAGCTATGCTACAACAAAGGGGATAGGTAGCAGTGAAAGGATTTAGATTTGGAAATTCGACCTCCCTACCTAGTAATTGGTTGGCATTTTGCATGCACCTAGTTTAAAGTATGTTCTGGCCAGATGCTACATCAGTACCTAGTTCCCAAGAGAAGCCTTACCAGCTGCAGGCTGCACATAGAGATACTGTGGCAAGAAGGACTGCTTGCCGTTTTCTTGAGAGGCCTGTTCATTTTCCTTTGCATTTTCTTTCGAACACTTATTCCTAAATGGCTTTTCTTGCTCCCAAGTTTCCAAAGATTTAGCAGCTTCTATAGCAGCAGGCACCCCTGCTTCGAACTGAAGTTGGTCAATGGGACTGCAGTTACGATCTGAGGCAGATTCGGCATCTGTTGGCTTAGCGTTCTTCTAAGAAAAACAAAAGCACAATTCATTTCATTAAAGAAATGCAAAACAAAACAGGTGCAGTTCTATTATGGGACTAGGACCCTAGTACAAATTATGTCTAGGTTAAAAATGGTTAATCAAGGGATAAATTTATCATAAAACAGCTTTTTTAAATAGGGTCCTCCCCTGCCCACCAAAACCAAAACGAAGTTTTGATTTCCAATGCAGAACTGGCAGGAGTTAATTCATGCAACTGGCAAAAAATGACAAAGTAGTAAGAACCTGTTCCTGAATGAGAAACAGCAAGGACTGCCACAATCTGGAACAGGAAGCTGGGTGGCAATGACTTAGTGATAGCATTTTGCCCTTGCTCAGTCTGACTGATAACTTGGGAGCGATTTTACATCCAAATCCACTCATTAAGGAATCCTTCTGCTACAATGTCTGATTTGATTCACTGGAATGACTCATCCAGGCTTATTTGCATGGCATGTGGCACATTGCGGAGGCGTTGGTGGACCGGTGCTTCTGAGCAAATGGTGGGGGACAAATGGCATTTTGACTTCTTCAAACTCTAGGAGACGTTTCGTTTATTTGCTTTCCTCTTCCAATACTGGAGGGATTGCACACAGAATCACGGAGTTGGAAGGGACCCTAAGGAAGAGATTCCTGCAATGCAGGAATACGCAGCTGTCCCGTATAGGGACTGAACCTGCAACCTCGGTGTTCTCAGTACCACGCTCTTAACAAACTGCGCTAGCCAAAAAAACGTTCGTTGCCATTTATCACATGTCTTTATGATGACTTCTGCAGCACAGAGGGGAAGCAAATACCTCACGCTTTACAGCAAACATGTCAGGGGCAATGAATGCTGCCTAGTTCTCTGCAGTATGCTAATTCGTCTAGCTAAGGGTCATTTCAAGTATAAACTTCCATTTCTCCTGCTGCAATCAAAACCTGGATATTGGTCCAATGTATTTCTCTTACCTTAGATACCACCAGTGAAATGGGACCATCGCTCTGCTCCAGACTCTGCCTTTTTGCCGTCGGTTCCTCTTCAGTGGGAGGAACACGCCATTGGGAACTCCGCTTCTGACCTTTAACTGGAGACTCAGCACCTTCTGATGGGCAGGGTGAAGCCTGGCCCTTGAAGTCCCAATTTCCCTTTTCTGGAGGACTTCCCCTCGAGAGACTCTCATGAAGACTGCCGCACAGCATGTACAGAGAGGGAGATGGCAAGTAAACAAAAGGTTGGTTGGAGAGCACAGTGGTTTTGCCAGCCTCTGGCTTGGAAGCCGATAATGGCAGACCTTGGTCATTTATCCCATTTGGTAGAGATGGCTGTGACGTGTCTGAGCTTGCATTTGAGGGAGGGAAGGTGTTAAGACAATAGTCTGAGTCTCCAGAAAGAACAGAGAAAGGGGAAATGATGCCCAGGTTTCCTGCCGCTTCGAGACCTTTGCTATAAAGACAAAGGGAGAGATAAGTTAGTCTAGAACCACAGCACACGCTATTCTTGCTCTACTAAGAAAAACCTGATTTATTCTACTGGCTTAGGAAAGAACTAAATCACCAAAAGGTTTGCATGCATGTGTCTATTTATTCCAGTTTAGGATGGGAAAATCCAATGAACAAGATTAGGCCTGAGGAAGGCTTGTTGCAATTTTCTGATGTGCACTGAAGGCCTTCACACCAGAAGGGCGAGATATAAGTGTTTCAATGAAAAGCAAATTAAAATAAACAATCTGCTCTGTTACAAAATGGCAGTGCCAAATAAAAAACACACACCCTCCTACCGTCATTGCCACCCTTTTTAATGGTTTCACCTAGATTTAGACACTAACTAGAACATTATGTGATAAGTCACCATGTTATTACATGAGCAATTTTCTGTGCAAAAGGTAAAAGGGGTTTAAAATTTATGCTAGACTTGTAAAAGAATAGGAGAACTGACACTCTATAAAGAGCTGTGTGGCCAAGGTGCTAGCTGATCAGTGTTATTCATGACAACACTCACAATGATGAGTACTCATTTCAGGAATTTTTATTTGCCTTATGAAATGAGCGCTGGAGGCCAAACAAGATTCTCAGCAAGCTGTCTCTGCCGTGTTTAAGTTTAAGATGGTGCCATACACATTTTACTCAACTTTAAATTCACATAAAGGATCACATCCTTGGATTTAATCCATCGCAATATTAGAACACCTGCGTTATCAGGATAAAATGGCCACTGGGTAATACAAGCTTTATTTAAATCCAGCTTCCTCTTTAGATTTGTTATTCAGTCTCTCCATGGTAGCACAGATAATTTTCGGAGGTGCCATTCATTATATTTTAGTGCAACCAAAGCTTCAAATTAGAGAGCTTCAAAATGTCTACCTTTGCTAAAACGTTAGATAGTTATTTACTTCACTTAGTGGGATGCATATTTTCACAACTATCAAGGAAACATCACACCCTGAGTTCACTTTATTCTGTGTGCTGCACCTTGTGCAAAGCCAAAATTTGTTCAAGTCTAATGAGCAATCCAACGGGAGCAGCTGCTGTACCCCATGAAACTCTTCGTGAAACACGCAAAGGCACAAACTGTTACTGAACCATGGCCTGCTCTCATAACATATGGATGTTGCACAACAGCTAAACTTGGAAGACTGAAGCTCATTTTAATGCAGACCAAAGCTTTTGCAGAGTATCAAGCTTTAAAATCCACAACATACCTTGCGTCATCTTCCATCTTCTGGCAGCAAACAGATGCTAGATTTATCATTTTGGAGCAGCAGTCATCTGAAGAATGAAGGAAAAGCAGAACGCTGAATTAATTACCAACGGGTGACGGTTATGTTTGTACCGTATGAGAAACAGCCATGCAAACACCCAATCATGTCTTCTCTTGAGAAACAACTAGAATGCACAGAGAGACTTAGGAAGACAGGCAGCACCGTTGATGAGTACTGTTTCAGGGACCATGTATATAGGATCTGGTAATTATGCATTTTCTAGGCTCTGTCTCAGATGGGGCTGCAATGGAAGTATTGAGAGCATTCTTCGCTACGCTCCCAGTTCTTCCTTTGAAGTCACAACCTGAAGTTTCAATCACTTGACATCAGATCTCAGATGACTGTCACCCTCAAAGTGATTTGCGGTAGGCTGGGCACTGCAGGTCCCTTCTCTAGCCTATATGAAAATACAGGTGTCCACAAATTTTGGCTGGCCATCGTCGACAGCTAAAATGTCTGGTGGCCAGGATGCTTCCCCACTTGCCGCTGAGCTTGGGAATGCAGTATGACTGTGAGAACAATCATCTTCCCACTCACCCCATAGCTCTTTAGCATGTTCACGTTGAGCTCCTCTTCCAAAGCTAAGCATGATACAAAATCAAAGAATCATAGAATTGTGGAGTTGGAAGGGTCCAGGAGGGTTATCTCATCCAACCCCCTGCAATGCAGGAATCTTTTGCCCAATGTGGGACTCAGCCCCATGACCCTGAGGTTAAGAGTCTCATTCTCTACCAACTGAGCTATCCCAGGTCTAGCCCAGCCCTTCTCTTGAGCCCAGAGTTCCCGCAATTGCGCTGCACTTCAGAGATCCTTGAAGAGGCCCTGAAGAACATCACAATATAGACACACATTTCTTTTGAGCTGGGAGGGGGGCCCTGTGTAGGATTGTTCTTGAAGCTGTACCCTCCAAGTGTCTCTGAGGTTCAGTGGAATTGCAGAAACTATTTCCTCCTTCCTCTCCCAGGAATTTATGGACCCCCCAGTGAAAATGGTGGCCTGGAATTCAGATTGATGTTTTAAAAGTATTCTATAGCTCAGCCCTGATACCTCCAACTTACACTCAAGCACAGTTTGTTTGCAGTTGGGAGAGAGGCAACTCTATTGTTCCATAGGCCAAGGTAACACAGTACTTTCTGAGCTGGGCGCCGTGCACCAGGCAGAGATGGGCCAATTGCCATTCTAGTAAAACCTTCAAATCACTTTATAAAGCCTGACAGTGCTGAGGTGTGAAAGTACTATAAACAGGATTGTTCCAGCCAGCTCCATCTTACCAGCAACCATAAAATAATATGTTCTCTTTCCATTTAAAGGGCTTTAATCTGCCTGTGCCAAATTCTAACAAAAGGAGCGCGCTCCAAGTTTAAGCTTGTGGAAAGGGAGCTGCTTTACCCGAAAAGAGATGCACAGACGCACGGCTGTTAGCTGGAAGCTTGTTAGCAGAGCTGGTGGGTTGGAGGAGCACAAGCCCTCCCCAGGTTACCTTGTTTTCCCCTGCGTGGGCTGCTGGGTTCTGAGCTGGCCTTCCTCTTGGCCACTTCGGAAGGCTGAGCCGTGCCAAAAGAAGCATGTCGCGAGAGCCGCTCTTTCCTACTGGAACAGGCTTGGTGGGGGACACGTGCTGCCCCTTTCGCTTTCGTCAAAGCAGCACAGGTCGGAATCTCCATCTTTATGCCACCTAAAGAGATGCATTCTTCGTTAAAATCAGCTCGCCAAAGGATGACCCGCAAGCCACGCTCAACATGAAGAAGCCCTGGAGCATCACTTGGGCAATAAACCAGTTCCATTGACAAAGCAAGACACTTTGCAGGTGAAGTGGAACAGCTATAAACAGAAGATGCCTCCTGAGGCCCCTTGAATGTTAAGGGTTGGGCTTTCTATTCTTCACATTACTCGAGTCTCCTTTACAAAAATACGAGAAACCATTTGAGCCAACCTGGTGCTGTTGGTGCTGTTAAGGCTGTAAGAAATGCATAAGTGATAATGACATAATATAAAGAATATTACCATTGTCTCCAGTGAACTCCACCGGCCCAATCCATTTGAAGGCTGGCTTACGACCTCTTTCTTCTGTTACATGCACTTTCTCAATAAGCCCAAGGCTTGTCAGGACATTGGCAATATCGTACAATCGCCGTACCTTTGCTAAAAGAAAACAAGTTTAATTATTGAACAAATGCATTATGTTACATTAAGATGTAACTAACCAGGCTGAAGAACTGCTACCAGAGAACCCAGAAGTAAAATCATGAAGAGTTTGGATTTGATATCCCGCTTTATTACTACCCTAAGGAGTCTCAAAGCGGCTAACAATCTCCTTTCCCTTCCTCCCCCACAACAAACACTCTGTGAGGTGAGTGGGGCTGAGAGACTTCAAAGAAGTGTGACTGGCCCAAGGTCACCCAGCAGCTGCATGTGGAGGAGCGGAGACGCGAACCCGGTTCGCCAGATTACGAGTCCACTGCTCTTAACCACTACATCACACTGGCTCCCCATGAGGACTGGGTACAAAAAATATAATATATTTTAGGTCTTTGGGGTGGGTGGATGTGGTCTAAACTCTTACTCTTGACCGGTGGATGAATGTCCTAGCAAAATTACTATGCATAAAGATTTATATCTGGAACATGAATACGCCATATTCAATAAGAAAAAAAACATAAAACTAATTGTTTTATATTATAGTCCCTGAGTTCAAACCCTGGTCCTACATAAATCAATGAATTGATTTTAATCCAGGATTGCAGCCTCTTTAAAATACATTCATAACCCAATCTAGGATAATAAATTTCGTTTCAGAGCTTTGTGTGCTGTTTTCATTTTAGGCAGGACCACAGGGGATCATTTTATCGTTTAGTTTTAAAAATCTGTTTTCAGTGCACAGTGGCCAAGTAATCATTTAATATTCATGTACACACATGCACACACTTTGCATCCTGCACAGGCTAAGGTCTGAACTAGGATCCTGTATCACCTGCATGACATGATGCAGGGCCATAGTGTTCCATATGAATCCCACCCCCCTAAAAAAATCTGAAAAACCAAGTATGTTCCCTTGTGATGTCAGTATGACTGTTATTCTCTGCAGTGACTAAATGATAATTCATCCCAGAAACAATCTTACTTTTAAACTTGCTGTGATCTGCTGTATCCTGGCTTTCTTCTATCAATATTTTCGCTGCTATGTCGAGAGTAACTATCTTGGTCTTGGAGACGAGGAACAGCATGACAAATTTTTGGCTCATAATCCTCAACGACTTGTCCTTTCTGCTGTTTGCAGACGCTGTATTACAAACACAACCCAAGTCTCAGCATGCTACATCTATCACAGCCAAGAAAGCGTTTTGAAGGCTTCTCAAGCAGAAAAAAAGAAAAACATTTCCTTGTTGGGAAGCAGGTTTTTTTTAATGAGCAGAAAATAATTGCCTATAGCAGATGGGCAGTTGCACTTTAACTCTCTTAAGGAAAGAAGGAAGGTCATAGCAAAGTATCTTGAAGGAGTGTGTGGAAAGCAGGACATTCTGTGGATTTTATTCTGTGTATAATATAGGAGCAAAGAAGAGTGAAGTCAGAAGTTAGAAGCACCAGGAGAAAAAGGATATGTAGGTTGATTTATTTCATCTATTTATAAAAGCATTTACATAGCACCATTTATAAATGGCCTTGGCCTCGTATACCTGAAGGAGCGTCTCCACCCCCATCGTTCTGTGAGAAGCGAAGTTACAGGGAACCAGGCAGAGGGCCTTCTCGGTAGTGGCACCCTCCCTGTGGAACGCCCTCCCACGAGATGTCAAGGAAATAAACAACTATCTGACTTTTAGAAGATATCTGAAGGCATCCCAGTTTAGGGAAGTTTTTAATGTTTGATGTTTTATTGTGTTTTTAATATTCTGTTGGGAGCTGCCCAGAGTGGCTGAGGAGACCCAGCCAGCTGGGCGGGGTATGAATATATTATTATTATGATGATGATTATGATGATGATTATTATTATTAACTGCAATATCAGGGCAGCGTTTGGGGCAACAAGAGATGGCAATGACGCAAGAGCTGACCCTGATATAGTTGCACCATTTGGACGAAAAGAAGTCTTGTCCCCCCAAAAGATACAATCATGTTTCAATGCAGTAATTTACTTCAAAAATAAAAAGAGAACACCTATCACATGTTGATGATGGCAAGGACCTCTCTCTTATTTTGCCAGTAGCCTTTGCTAACTTACCAGACGGACAATCTGTCTCCGAGAAGTCAAGCAACTGTCGGTCTTGGAAATCTAGAAAGGTCTCTTTTTTGTGTTCTCCAAATTTACAGTCAAGGTCTAGCTCTTTATGCTGGAAAGAAGCCATAAGTTCTTCATATTTCTGCAGCTCTCCTATTTCCTGGAGGTTTTTGAGCGTTTGACTCAAGCTGTGACGACCGTGCCAACAGTACTGATTCTTAGCTACTCGGCTAACGAGATCAAGAGACTCCAAGACATTCACTATGTCATAAATTCGTCTACGCTCAACCCCTAGAAGTGGAATGAAAAGAAAGACAAAGAGAATAAAAGCAAAACATCGCAAAATACACCAAACAAAACAAAACTCCCTTTCCTGGGCACATTACAAGACAAGTCATGGTGGTACAGTATTCTACTTCCAAAACAAGGAACACAATTATGGTCTTGTGTTCTACTGTTTAGCAACCAGACAAGATACAGACACATCTGTCAAAAGAGCAAAACTTTTCAGTGGCTCGTTAGAGATGTGCTGTAAAGTTACATAACAGGAGAAAACTGGTCTCTTCAGGGCTACTTTCCATATTATACAAGTCATAGAGACTTTCACATAATTCTAGCTGAAGCATTTGGATCACAGCGATGTCTCATGGTTTGCCTGGCCTGGGGTATGTGTGTGTGTTAGGTAACACCAGAGGGTTAATATGGTGTCTCTGGCTTAAAAACAGTTCCCAAGCATATTGTCTCCCCTCAGCCTCAACAACTTGTTTTTGAAGGAGGCACCCCGGATACCGCTTCTGAGCAGGCCTGCATAGGAATGTGTGTTCAAAGTCACCTGTCCGGGTCCTTTGGCTCAGAGGTATCCTATAGGAGGGCTTTTACGGCTTATTCACAATATGGATTGTAGCCTACATAGCTACTTCTGTTAAAATGATTTATCTTCGTTTGGGTGCCTCAAGGTGGAAGCATTCAGCTTGAGAAGTGCTACATGAATAGTCAATCCCTACATCATCCTTTCATGTCTAGACACTCTCGTTATCATTTGAAAACGCCAATCCCGGAATGAAAAGCTTTATGTGAGAAGCAGCTCATGATTGTCTATACCTAGACATTTAATTTAATTTAAAATATCAATTAGGCAGTTATTAGTTTGTCACGCAGAACAAGAGAGAACAGGTTGCTGACTACCATCCCAGTGTTAAACTAAGCGGCCTTTGCCACTGCTTAAGGGACAAACAAAAGTACCAGAGTTCCTAATAACACCGCCTTCTGAGGAATTAGTGTGGCGGTGATAGGAAATCTTCACGTAGTTAGAATCTCTGTCTCTCCCCCACCCCCAATAAAAGAGTAAATAATGTATAGTTACTTAGTCAAAAACAGCATGTGGCTTTGTGGCGCTTGTTACAGCATTAAAATCTACGCAACGATCCTTAAATTTGCATGGCAACATCCATAAATTATCCCCGTTAACAGAAGAAATGCTACTAAACTGTAAACTGCAGTCAAGTCCTCAGAGGGAAAGAAAGTTATTCCGGCGGTAGCCAATGTGGTACCCTCCAGGTGTTATGGGCATACACGAGGCACCCCCAACCTTCGGCCCTCCAGATGTTTTGGACTACAATTCCCACCATCCCTGACCACTGGTCCTCTTAGCTAGGGATCATGGGAGTTGTAGGCCAAAACATCTGGAGGGCCGTAGGTTGGGGATGCCTGGCATACATCATCCCCAAACAACACAGCCTATGGTCAGGGATGATTGGACTTGTAGTCCGTAAGATCTGCTGGGCACTACATTGGCTGCTCTTTAGGGTTATTCGGAGTGGACGGCAGTGCAGCGGTATGCTGATGGGGCAAGAGAAGGCAGCCTACTTTGTGTTAAAACACAGTTGCCACGCACCTCCTTCAAGTATTTATTACTACTATTCTAGGATGGACAGGCAGAAGATTTGAAACTGTTGGGCTCTGGGTGTAGTTGAGTTGTTGCTGCGATGTAGAGATCCCTTGAATTACAATGTCGACGTCCGCTTCAACAAGGCCTGGAATTCACCTGGGAAAGGGGATGGTACCGCGAACTTGTGGTAGAGTCATCCACCCATTATTCATGCTCCAGGTGAAGATTTACAGCTGGGACCAAGCAGTGTCCCTGCATCATCACTCACAGGCTAAGCCACAGATGACACTATTAATTGGAGTTTAGGGAACTATGAAAATGGTGCTCAAGTGGAAGCGGAGAGGTGCCCCCCCCTTTCAGCAGCAGATCTGGGGCGGCGAGCCTATAGTGAAAATGACTTAGTGCCCTGCTCAATATTTCTTGACGCTGTCACATCTCATTACATCTTCCATTAAACTTCCTTTAGCAAAAGGCTACACAAATCTGCCCTAACAACACCATGTCAAAAATCTATTTTAAGAAAATATGCTATGCAAACAGAAAGATGAAAAATAACTTTATACATATTTATGTGAAACTTCCTTCTGTGCCAGATCAGACTATTGAGCTCAATACTGCCTTACTCTTACTGGAACATTTAAAAAGCTGCTTTGCCTTATACATGATATCCCAGTGTTGCCTCTTGTGACTACCAGTGGCTATCCAAGCTCTCCGACAGAGGTCTTCCCTATTATCTGCAACCTGCTCCTTTTAACTCGAAATTACAGGAGTTGAACTGAGCAACTTCTGCCCCCAAAGCAGTTTTCTATTTCAGTCCTGAAACAATTTGCTTAGAAGCAAGACCTAGCAGTTACAATTCTTGGAAGAAATGTGCTCTTCCAAATACTTGTGTGCAGGCCATTTATTAATTAATGTAATTTATAGGCCACAGAATTTTCAGGGCAGCTCACAACAAGAAATGCATAGAATGCTACAGCCCAAATCTAGTTAAATAAAACATCTTTGGGTCCATCTGATTTTGCACCTCAGGTTTACATCCAATAAGAAACATGGTGCTGTATATATTAAATATCCTGTTTCAGATAATTGATAAGTAGCATCAGGGGGGAATATTTTCAGTTTCAGTCATTGAGTTTTTATGCCAACCCCCCCCCCCCCCGTACCTTCTTCCATGGAAACACCACTGAAATGCATGGGAAATTTCATGAGAGGATAGTTAATTTAAATGGGGTTTGTAAGGAGAACTGCTTGCCTTAAAGGGGCTACTATCTAGTTCAACCGGAGCATTCATTCCTGCAGTCAGTATTGCTTCCTTGCATACGTACCAAGACTAGAAGCCACTTCGTCCAAAGAAATTGTTGTTTTTTCTGCTGATAAAGGATAACTGGGGTAGCGGGCTAAGAACTTTTGGCACAGCAGCCCTAAGCTTTTCTGCTTTCTGCTGGGTCTCTGCTTTTCATATTCATCCACTGTTCCATCATCTACGGTGCCACACTAGAAACAAATAAAATGGGTTGTAGTTGCCTGGTTTTTTAAATAACACTTTGTTATATAGCACGGCACCAGCAATACATGTTGTATTTTTAATACGTAAGACCTGGACTTTCAGCAGGAAAACGAAATACATGCATAAGGTATTAAGCAAGTCTAGAGAGTGGAGTTGTAGATCAAGGATAGCCAAGTAACCTCCAGACGTTGCTTGACTACAACTCCCATCTCCCCTAACCATTGGGCCAAGACAGCAGCATGGCGGACAGGTCTTGGACACTGGTAGCTCCTCTGACAAGCAGGACAGTACTGGGAATGTCGTGGTTTGCAAGGCGGCAAGGATAAAACTGGTCCGGTGTTGAACGTAATGAGCAACACTGCACCTTAGTTTTGATCGGGAGCCTTTCCACCTATCTCTAGAGGGGTAGAGCATTTAAACTTCACGAAGCACCCCATACCAATTAAAAACAATTGGCCTAGGGGCATAGGAAGCTGCCTTTTACTAAGCCAAGTAGCTGGTCCATCTAGCTTTTGCCTACACTGACTGGCAGCAGCTCTCCAGGGTTTCAGAAGGGACATTCCCATCCCTACCTTCTGCATGCCAAGCAAATACTCTGCCACTGAGCTGTAGCCCTTCTGCTGCCTGCAGGCTTACAGCCCCAAAGGCACAACACAAGGAAAACTGGATGCAGAAGAAAGAGGGCAATTTTGAGAGAAAGATCTTTAGCAACCCCAAAGGCCAGGTTTCGTACCACAAAAGAAAACTTCTGAAGCCTCTTACACTATAGTGAGTTTAATTGGCCTCTGCACCTAAGAGAAATCTTAAAAGATGCTGGAACGGCTCCAGTAAATAACTTTGAGGGCTACTGCAGTGCAACAAGTGGTCCTTAAAAGGAATATTTGTTAAAACAGCCTCAAATGCTGAAAGAAACTGCAGCTTTCATTCCCCCACCCCCTGAAGTTGTATTTTAAGCAATAATGTATGAAAGCGGTTCTCACTAGATTGGCTCTGGGAGTGACCATTCTCAGGAAGATTTTGGCTGCCTTAGGTAGCACTATGTTTTATGGACCTTGCATGGTGGGGGCAGATTTTGGAATCTATGCCTTTGTATTTTAAAGAATTTGCAGAAAGCGTTTCTAAACAGGAACTGCTGATTTTATCCAAGGGGAGCAAGATTAATACGGCTAATGAGTACAAGTAATCATGCTTCGAACTGGGAACAGCCAGCATTATTTGGAGAAGTTCACCAGAGGCACAATACAGCAGCTGGATCGGAGTGTACTTTAAACCACGAATGGGTAGCATAAGGCTCACTGGACCTCCTTTGCTTTTTATTAGAACCCAGCAGCAGCCAGCAGGGTGGGGCCACATTGCTACCCTGACTTCCCAATGCTGCATGTCACAGGGGCTGACCGAAGAAGCTCAGGGTGGCGTGTGTGCAGCAGCAAGTGTATTGGCTCTGCTACCACCCTGAGCTCCCTGCGCCTCGCCCCTCTCATTCTCCGTAAGCAGCAGAAACACACGGCATGGGCAGGTTGGGGCAGCAGCCAGTGCCCACCCACACTGCTCCTCTGCCTCCTGCTGCTGGAACCCGAGGATGTACCGAGCAGTCCGGTGTAAGATACACAGTGAGCCAAGGAATCCCTTTTCAGTACAAAAACCGAGCTCAAAGTCTAACTCATGCTAATGAGCTTTCTTCATTTCGGCAGCCTAATTTCAGAGGGGAAAGTTGTACGGGCTGTGATTATGATTGTTTTATTATTATGCTGTATGTTGTTATTCTTTGTATTATATTATTATTATTATGCTCCATAAAGTATGTTTTTAATGTTGCACACCACCCTGGGAGCTTTTGATGAAGGGCGGTATATAAATAAAATAAATTAAAAAATAACATTGTTACTGCTTTTGTAAAACAATTGGGAGCCAGAAATCACTGCTCTGCTGCAAACTATCTAGAGATCTACCAGTGGATCCCCATCTACCACCTACGCCCCTCCCTCACCCCGCTTTGAACCAGGGAGGGGTCAACTCGTTGACATGAGGATTTCTGAAAAACAGGAGAAGAGTAGAATTTTTTCACATTTTATGTATACATAATTACATCTTTTTAATTCATGATTCCAGTGACACAACAGCAGGTAGTCATTTATTGTGCAATATATTTGTAACGGCAGTGATATTTTGGGGAGGGGGGTAAGGTTTAGAAAATTAAGTCTCTTGCTCGTGTCACTTGGAAAGCACAAAGAGTCTGCCTGCTCCCCCATGCATTCTTGTTTCTAAGGAAGGTTCACATTCTCTAAATCTTCTATGCTGGTGGCCCCGTGAAGCAGCTGTGCAGAGGAAGTAATATGTGACAGTACAGCTCAAAATGGCAGGCGAAGAGACAACAAAGGAAGTGGCACTTTGGTTATGTGAGCAGAAATAGGAGAACGGCTGCGAAAAGTCAAATCAGGACAATTTGGGAGAGTTGTCCACAAATCAGATAAATGAAGAAGGCTACAAATGAAATATTATTTAGTTTAAACAGATAAAAAATGACTAATTCAAAACAAATGTGCCGTGGAAAGTCTCTCTTACCTGCAAGGAATCGGGAAAAGCGTCATTAAATTCATTGTTCTCAATTGGCCTGAAGAGCTCCTTCTTCTTTTCTCTGTCCCGCATGTCAGGGCTAGCAGCGCTAATAAGCATCTTTAGGTTAGCTGTGGGGGTCCATGGATCTGCCAGGGGCCTATCTGTCAGCTTAACAGGTGTAATTGGACTTCTCTCAGGGGTACAGGTTTTTTGCTTTGACAAATCAATGGGTTCATTTTTCATGGGAGTCTTTGGGGTCATTCTGGGTCGCTCAAATATATTTTCCTATTAGAAAGAAAAGATAGCTTTGGAGATAACTGGAAGGCAGAGAAGCAGCCAATCAATGCTGTGGTCCTATTGTACCAAGAAACGGTGGCCTGCTCAATTACAAATGGCTCCCATAGAGATCTATGGGGCAAGATACACAGGCTAAAATTTAGGATGGAGTTGAGAGAGAACCTCATCCCAGACCCTTGTGTCCCAAAGGAAGGAGACAAGTTTATATCCAGCGCATTGCTTGACCTTAGCCATATAGGCAGGAAATAAAGCGATGCACTTTAGACGAACTCTACTACTGTACAGTCTTACCTCAGTTCTCGAATGCCCTGGAGCTTGTACGTTTCGCCTCCCGAACAATCGAAAACTGGATGCGAGTGTTCCAGTTTTTTGAACGTTATTTTGGAAGCCGAACATCCAATGGGGCTTCCATGGCTTCTGATTGGCTGCATGAGCTTCCTGCAGCCAATCAGAAGCCACATTTTGGAAGTTGAATGTTTCGGAAGTCGAACGGAGTTCTGGAACGGATTCTGTTTGACTTCCGAGGTACGACTGTATTTTACTTCCTAGGTGCCCATTCAACTGCTTCAGTCTGGGGAACTGGCACCATTACAGCTGCCACATAATTATTCCACAATTGAAAGAAAATGATTATTTTTATACTTGCATATTGGAACTCTCTGCCTATTGACAGCAGACAAGAACCTCTGCTGGCTCTTTTCAGGACCTTCTCAAAACAGGTTTTCTTTAGGCAGGTCTATCCAAACATGTAGAAGTTGGTGTGTTTCAATCTCTTTTGTACTGTTCATTTTTCTATCATTTTAAAATGTTTTTAATTGTAAATTTTAATATTTCATGTAAGCCACTTAGAGACTTTATTACACCCAAGCAGTATGTAAATTTTGTTAAATAAAAATAAATGAAATAAATATCTGTGACCCCCCTCACATCCCAGCCCCCACCAACGGACACTACCCTGAGGTGCTAGAATGTTTTAAGAGCAAGTTATCACACAGCCACACAGGCCCTCCTTCTAAACACGCTTCACCCAATACAATGACAGGCATTTTGTTCAAGCATATTGGGCCTGAGCTAAATACCTGTCAGTCAAGTAGCAAAGACCAAAATACAGTTTTATGGTCAGGGAACAATGCTCAAGGTTAGCATTGTTCCTAAGATTAGGGCTTTAATTTTTGCCATAGGATTAAACGCCCTTCATGTAAATTGGTGAAAAGTGGACTGAAACCAGACAGTGGATTGGAACAACAGGGGGGGGGGGGACTTTTTGTCCCAGACTCTGATGACCACAATATGTGGGGAGAGTCCAGTTGTGTCAAATTTAAGCCTATTTACCCTGTTTATTCCTGCCAACCTAGCAGTTTGAAAGCACGTCAAAGTGCAAGTAGATAAATAGGTACCACTCCGGCGGAAAGGTAAACGGCGTTTCCGTGCGCTGCTCTGGTTTGCCAGAAGCAGCTTAGTCATGCTGGCCATATGACCCAGAAGCTGTACGCCGGCTCCCTCGGCCAATAAAGCGAGATGAGCGCCGCAACCCCAGAGTCGGTCACGACTGGACCTAATGATCAGGGGTCCTTTTACCTTTACCCTGTTCATAGAACGCAGTGGAAGCCATTCACCAGCATAGGCCCTTGACATTTTCATAAACCTACCCAGGATCATAGCTGTCAACTTTTCCCTTTTCTTGCGAGGAATCCTATTCAGAATAAGGGAATTTCCCTTTAAAAAAGGGAAATGTTGACAGCTATGTCCAGGATACTATTTCTTGGTCACAGAAGAACATGACAGAACCTATGGAAATTACTTCTGTACATTCTGAAATCTTATATTGGTTACCAACACTGAAAATGCTGGGGAAAAAAACAGTTTTTAAATTGTGCAATGCTTTCACTCTTTTCTGGAAGGGATAACAAAAATACAAAAAAATCTCAATTAAGATCAAATTAACTGGGTTAAAAACAGTTGCTAAGTTGATGAATGCACCTGGGAGAAAATTTCACATTGAAACTATACATTTCTATCCCTGGGAGTTGCCAAGGTATGATTGGACAAATCTCTGATGAAAACTGTCCATTGAACAAGTATCTCATCCCTGTTCTGTGTGATACATCACACTGAATCATGTATTATTTAACCAGTGATTAAGTTTATTTGGCAGCTCGACTTAAATGCCAGGGACACAGGCCTGGTTCACACACTGCGGTAAAGGTTTCGTGCAAGTGGGCTCCTGGAAAGCCCACAAGTCACTTTGCCTGCAAAGTTTGACTTAGCATCCTGCACAAATGCAGGTTCATGTTTCAGCTCCCTCTTCACTAACCATGTGCTGTATGGTGTCATTCAAACCCAGGCTTGTAGTTAGGGTCTCTTCCCACTAAACACAAGTTGTAGTGAGGAAAAGCATAGCCATGGACCCAGGTATCAATGACATGCTAAGCTAACCTTGGCTGAGCTTAGGAGTAAAAATAGACTGGGGCTGCAAGGTCCCAATAAACCAGAGTTTGGCTTACTGTGACATGCAAATGAAGCCACAGAATTCCCTCTCAGCTGTGGCCCAAACTTTAGCCTGCTTATTCCATCCTATAGAACTCAATGGGAGCCACACTTTGTGAGGGCCAAATTGAGTTTTCTTTCGTACTGCGTTTCTCCTGCAAGACACCTTAGTTTTCTGCTACTTCAGATTTAATACATCTTACCAATATGGTCATGTCAATGCACACTGCTGTACCAGTATCATGTTTCTTACTTAAACCTCCTGCTTTTCGAAACTTTACAAGGCTGAAAAACAATTGTTCTGCTCTCACTAGGACATCTATCTAGCTTTTCTGGTGGGAATATAACCACAGCAGTCAACAGTCATATAGACTTGCATTGCCTGTTTGGTTAGCTAGTGTTAGAGATCTACTGTAGATAACCAACAATGTCAAAAGAGCCAAAAGTGATTGCGGAACTTGAACTGATTAATACCTACAATGGCAGCAAACTGAGACAAGCATTTTTTAAAAAACTATTGAATCAGAGAGCAACAGATTATTTGTATACTTAATTGAGCTTTCTTCTGGCTTCTTCACTTTTACACACACATTGCTTGTAAATTTCCAGGCCTATTGTTCCACTAGTAGCAAGTCATTGCTTTTGCAGATTAAAAAGTGCTATTTTGAGGTGAAGGTTGTGCTTCCCCCCTTAGATAAAATCTATAATGTGAGGTTCCAGGCAGCATAGAATGTAGCATCTCAGGAGAAACCAATCCATTACATTGACTTGTATGCCTCATTGATACAGGAGATCTCTTGATGTATTCTGTTTTTGCTTTAATGCAACTGCCAAGTGTGTGTGTCCCAGTTTGAACGGACAGCCCTTTCCTGGAAGGAAAGCTCATCTCTGAAGCTGCGGCGGAGCATATAACTCCACTCCTCTCATTTGGTTAACAGCAGCTTCAGAATGGTTGGAAGATAAAGGGTTAAGTACCCCTCCCCCAATGCCACTGCTCCATTCAAATCCAGACCACTGCATTAAAGTAAAAACACTTGACACTGGAGACATTTTTCTTGCTGTGCTTTCTGTTTAATTAGGAGCACCTCTTCAGGTTTACTGTTTCATATCTGAAACCAGGTATCGATCCATTTTGCTCAGTGAGAGCACTAGTAGGATACAGTACTGCATCAGCTTCAACCCTTTCACAGGTATAAGAGTCTGCCACAAACATCCAATCAGGAATGACAGGATTGTCCATAATCCCATGCCCATATGGCAAATGTCTTGCACAAAATCTCATTAATAGAAAAAATGACTCCTCATTTCCTTTAAAGGGCAGGGTGGAGAAACTGGCTTTCTGCGAAATTAGAACCAAGGGGAAGATCTTTTGCAAGTTTCTGAGACAAGTGCCCAACTGAAAGAGTGATTAAATATGTATATTGTTACAATTTTATTTTTAAACTTAATGGAGCTAACTATAATCATACTTAAAATGGTTTTGTTTTGTTTTGAGTTGGACATTACAGGTAGGTTTTACTACTCTGGAATATTGTAAGTTTCACCATGATTTTAATAAATGAGAACACAGTTGAGAACAATGCCTGATGGCCATGAGCAGTTTTGAAAATACAGAACTGGGTGTTTAGGCACCTGCTTACCTTTTGAGCACTTTCCCCATCTTCATCTATAAAATCCCTTTTTCCATGTCTGGAGCTGATCAGGTCTTTTAGCGTTAAGCAGTTAACCTCCATCTGTAAAATTGAAAGTTGCACAAGAGGGTCAGCACCTTACATCATCTCCCACCTAAAAAAAAAAAATCAGCTTTCGGGTCCTCTTCAAACCCCAAAATAATTTGGGCAAAGCTTATGAAGTTCACAGTGTTTTCTAAACACTAAATTAAAAAAAACAACAACCCAAAATAATAGAAGGGTCAGATTGGGGGCCAAGGCGGCGGTGAAGAAACGTATTACAGTATTAAAATATCTTCAGATTCAGTAGACTAGGTAGAAATTGGCCGGGGAGAGGAGGTGGGTGTCCCCGAAAAGTGGGGATCTTCTGAGGGCGAATCTGTCATTTGGGAGCTCAGGGTGTTCGCCCCGGGATCAGTTACTTTTGGCGCAAAGAACCTGGAAGTGAAATCCCAGCTTTGAAACTGAAGCGGGACAGAAACTGCCCACCTCGCAGCCCAAGGCGGTTGAGCGAGACTCGCGCCCTGAGAGCGGGAGAGACCCCGGCCCCCCTCCCAAAAAGGTGGTCTCCCGCCCCCCGCCATGAAGCCTCTGGCTCGGCCGCCCCCTCGGTGCAGCCGCAGGGAAGAAGACGGCGGCACAAGCGCGGGAGACCCACCTCCCATTTTTCCCGCCCCGCAAGAAAAGTTCAAGAAACTTACATTTTTTCTCGAGTTTCCTTCCTGTCCTCTCAAAGGGAGCCCTTCGCGTCAGCGCCTCCGGGCCCGCTCAAGCCGCAGCCGGGCTTGAGGCTCATGGGGGTGCCTCCGAAGGGGAAGAAAAAGAGCCCCCCGCCCCAATTCGGCGTTGACCTCCCGCGCCCTTCCTCCCTCGCTTGCGCCTGCGACGTGCCTGCACTGGCCGCTTCCCCGCAGCCCCGAGATTCCACTAGGCGCTAAAGCTTCTATTCTGGCGCCCTGCAACATATTTTTACAATCCGGCCAATCAGGCTCTCTCCGACGGGGCGTCCCCCTGGCGTTCCCGCCAATCAGATCGAAGCCCTGGCTCGGCGAGTTTGGCGCGGCATTCGGCGCGCTCTTGTCCCAAGGTCCCGCGCCGACGCGGTGGGGAGCCTTGCGGCTGTTTCCCCGCCGCCTCTGCCGCCCTCCTCCCACCTTGCGCCACCTGGGCCGCCCCGCCGCCGCCGCCGCTGTCGCTAGGCAGGAGAAGCGGGCAGCTCCGGATAATGAGAGGCGGCGCAAGGGAACAGATGGGGAAAGCTGAAGGGGGGGGAAACCTGATCCTAGGCGACGCTGCGAAGGGTGGCGGGACCGCTCGGCTCCCTCCCTCCCTTGCAAGTCTGCCGTTGGCAGCTCGGGCCCCGCCTGGAATCGCCTAGCGATGACAGGAAGTACGGAGCTTTCCCAGAGGGAAATACAGAATAAAACGAAGCGCCCTTTTGTTTTCCTGGCAGACAAGCGTTTCTGGAAAATAGGCACATTCAGACGTGCAGTTTGATAAATAATTTAAATGCGCCCAGTTTGCCTGGCTGGCAGAATTTTCACGTGATTCCCACCTTTTAATGCATCAGGTCAGATTAAAGCCAGGCGCCCTGTGGCTAGAAATGCGGCACAAAAGGAAGCCTGGATGAACCCTTCATTCAGAGTTGCTTCTTCACACGTTAGGGATTTCCTACACGTAAAAAAGTGCTCATCTGTAAGCTGGGGAGGCTTGTGAGGAGGTTGCGCTGCTGTGAGTACGTTCTCTACCTGAAAGCTATGACTAGCTGCACACCTGTAGCAAGAAACCTGTTGGATCGTCCCATATTGATATGTGTGCTTATGTAGCAGCTTTGGATCAGAAAACAATTTTATTAGTCTCCAGATGTCCCTACCAAGTACAGCAGAATGCTCATATTTAAAAAGAGAGAAATCAAAGTTATATGACGTATTCAAAAAGGTAATGTTACATCTCTTTGGGGATTATTTTTTTAATGTAGCCCCCTGTCCATGCCCAAATCTATGTGTTCCCTAAGCCTTAAACCTTAAAAATCCAAGTGGTAGTGACTTAGTTATAGAGCCTGACTGCCTGTTAAAGATTGAGCTGCATAACGAAGTACACTTCTGACACCCAAACGAGTAACTGGAGAACAGCATGACCCATAAGACAAGCTGGCTGTGCCAGATCTAGAAGCAGTTTCACACACTTTGGAAACTAAGGTGCTTTTCAGTGTTGGATAGACAGCAATCTTTTTCATGACTTTGACCCAGATAATGGCAAAGTATCAAGTTTGGACAAGGCAGGTTCCAAGGTTGACTTGATGCAACTGTGAACATGGAGCTGTCTTGAGAAGATGTCACCTGGGCCCAACTCAGCCTCACTAACATCAGGGACACACAGTGACAACAGGCAGACTCATTTGTCTAAATCTTGGTCTGCCCTAACCATGTATGAAATGACTTTTGAGTAATCTGACATTGAGAGCAAAAGAGGCACCCACCACCAACACTTACATTCCTGTCTCCAAGCATTTCCAGTGGAATTTACTTCCAGTATGGGAGCTTGGTGTAGGAGAAAGATATACAGGATATGGACTCTGAGGAGGTACAGGGAGATGTTAGAATCCTCACCCATGCGCTTGTTTTGCTCTAAATGTAGCTTTATACAGAGCCAGTCCAATCCATTTTGCTACCTGAGAATAACAACATGGCACCTACTCATCCCCAAAGCTAACTGCACTGGCAGCTGAATCTTCACTCCTGATGACATGACTAGGCCTAGGTGATATATTCCCCAGGACCGGTATGAGGAGCAAATTGTGATGTCAGTTTCACTCAGTGGTATATTGCTGGTGAAACCACCACCGCACCTGAGTCCCTCTGCTAGCAGCGTCCCCTGGAGGGAGTCAAGAGTTCCTTCCTCCAGTGGGCGATGCTAGCATAGGGACTCAGGAGCGGTGGTGGTTTCACCAGCAATGTATCGCTGGGTGAAACCTCCATCCCCAGGGCCGGATTTGGATGAAGAGAAGTGCTAGGCTACTCCGCTTGTGAGGCCCCTCTCCCTCCCCCACCCACACAACTAGAAGAAAGTGGAAGAGCGTTATAAACAAAATTCAGTGAAGCCAAGGATGATGACGGGTATTTAAAATTCTGCAATTCACAATTTCTCTTTTAAATAACGTAAGATATTATTGTTAAATACCATGGTGATTTTTAAAAAAATGCATAAAATTAACACTGAAAAACTTTTGCAATAACTGAACTACCGCAGGCCGCAGGCCTGGCTGGGTCTTCCTGTTATATACCTGCTGGGATTGACAAGGCATCTGACCCTCACCTGAATCTCCTAGCTCTCCTGATGAGTGCTTTGGTCCAGGACATAGGTGTCCTGACTGTGACAAAGGTGACCTGTGTGCTTGCTTGCTTGCTTGCTTGCTTAACAGCTGTTGGGAACTTCAAGGTCCCTGCTCTCCCTTCTAATGACCTTTGTACTGGACCTGGAGACTCCAATCGAGAGCATTCTATGTCAAGAAGGAGGGCAAGTGGGCACCCTATCAAATGACAGGGCAGGAGTTACATGGAGCAGGGCCTTTTCACTGGTGGTGCCCATTGTATGCCTCGCTCTTCCCAGACCTGCTCTCTTTTGGCCTGTATTTTGGAGCTTTATAATTTAGGAAGACCTTGGAAGAACTGGTTGACAAGTCTTATCAGTCGCTGACGTATGAGCGAATTTTATTTGCTGCTATTCTGGGCTTCTGGTGCACCAGGGTTTACACCAGCGTAATAGAGTTGGCCAGGATGCCAGAAGGGATACAATTTATGAGCTTTCTCCATTATCTGCACAGCAGGGGGTTTTCAATTTTGGGAGAGGAGACTGCGGCAATGGGGAGTGGGCAGGCTGGCGAGGCCCCATAGATTTAGAGGCCCAAGTTGCCCTGCCCTCGCATGAAGTCTTGGGGTTGCAATTTTGGGAGAGGGAAGAATGCCCGCTGCAGAGTGGGTGGGCTGGCGAGGCCCCCTAGATTTAGAGGCCCTAGGCTTCAGCCTACACATAAATCCGGCACTGGCCATCCCACTCTGCCATCATACTATAGAGAGGGAGAAACAAGCTGTATCAGCAAGGCGTCAATACAGCTTGTTCCTCCTTCTGCTCAACTGAGGAGTGTGCAGCTGCCCTTGCCTCAGTCAAGCAGTTAAAGGAGCCCCCAGCCCGGCGCTGGCTCCTGCAAGCTGGCAGTGGGGTGGAGGGTCTGTGAAACTGCTCAGCTGAGGGGAGCGCAGTTGCCTGTCTTGGCTGGGGGGGGGGGGGCGGACAAGCTGCATTGTCCCAGCCTGCAAGCCTGGGTGAAACCGCCTCTGCTCTCAAGGGTGAGAGCTGGGGCAGTTTCACCCGGTGTCTCATGAGCAGAGGCCAGTGCATCTTGTTTTTTCAGCATCATGGTATATTGCCAAACTGTGATGTTTGCCTGGTAATGCACTGCGATGTTGAAAGCTGATATTGCCCAGCGCTAGACAAGACACCATCTTCCACTACACCCAAGGACACCAGGCTGGCTTAGAGGGTGCAGGGCAGGCCACCTGGCACATAACACTTTCTCAGTGCCTCACCACTTGCTCCTGGCTCTTGGCACAGATAGGGCCCTCTGTAGAGGTACAGGTAAAGGGACCCCTGACCATTAGGTCCAGTCATGGTTGCAGTGCTCATCTCACTTTATTGGCTGAGGGAGCTGGTGTACAGCTTCTGGGTCATGTGGCCAGCATGACTAAGCTGCTTCTGGCGAACCAGAGCAGCGCACGGAAATGCCGTTTACCTTCCCGCCGGAGCGGTACCTATTTATCTACTTGTACTTTGACGTGCTTTCGAACTGCTAGGTTGGCAGGAGCAGGGACTGAGCAACGGGAGCTCACCCCGTCGCGGGGATTCGAACTGCCGACCTTCTGATCGGCAAGTCCTAGGCTCTGTGGTTTAACCCACAGCGCCACCTGCATCCCTAGGGCCCTCTCTGGCACTCGCCAAATCAGACACAAGTTTGCATAAAATTTTCATACACTTAATGTAACATGAAGATATCTACCCTTTTTTGCACATGGCCCAAACATAAGATGGGTCACGCACAAGTAATAAGATGTCCGACAGACAGACTATCAAACTGGCAATTCTTTCCCCATAATTGTAGATCCATACTACAAAAGGCTTACTTTGTTTAACATCTACCTGCCACATATCTATTAAAGACATGAGAGCCCTGCTCTCCTCTAATGCCAGCTCTCAGTCTTGGGAGAACCCAAGTTTCACAAATTGTAAGTGAGTCATGTTAACTGTAAATCTTTCATCAGCTGATCTTAGGGCGGCAATACTACGTTCAGGGCAAGATCAGACCTGGCAGGGGAGCAAAGGTGGTTTAAGATTTACACCAATTCAGTTCAGATGCTCATGCTCGGATAAATTAAAGATTTAAATAGTTAAAAAGCAAGCACCTTATTCATTTGCTGTGGTTATGTATTAATGCCTCATAATAGCAGCAGCATTTTCTTTCTTTTTCATTTCCTGAGCAAAAGGGGTTTGAAATCCCCATTCAGCCATAAAGCTCATTTGGTGCCCTTTGGCCATTCACTGTCTCTCAGCACAAACCTATATCACAGGGTCGTTGTGAGGATAAAATGCCCATTTAAGTGTTTGTACCAGCAGTGCTACCAAACCACCCGCCTCAAGAATCCCAATATCCCTTCACGGGTGAGATAGCCACCCCTCCTTGTATATTGTTGCTACAACCAACCAGCCTCTCTCACTGCCCTACTACTGTATTTACATTGATGGGGGGACGACCATTACTGCACACTATCAGATTGGATAACAACACTCTCTGTCTTTTTCCAGCTCCCAACTTCATACCAATTAAACAAAGAATATCTCATGGACTGTTCTCCTGCCTACAAGATGATGCAGCCTCCAGTCAGGTGAGGTGGGGGATGCCTACCCCCCCAATAAAATAACAACAACAACAATTTATTATTTATAGCCCTCCCATAAGAGATCACCAGCCAGTTGTCTCTATGGCAAGACATCTGTACTTTACCAGCTCTTTAGGCACATACAGTGGTACCTCGGGTTAAGTTAATTCGTTCTGGAGGTCCGTACTTAACCTGAAACTGTTCTTAACCTGAAGCACCACTTTAGCTAATGGGGCCTCCTGCTGCCGCCGCGCCGCCGGAGCCCGATTTCTGTTCTTATCCTGAAGCAAAGTTCTTAACCTGAAGCACTATTTCTAGGTTAGCGGATTGTGTCTAACCTGAAGCGTATGTAACCTGAAGCATATGTAACCCGAGGTACCACTGTAAATGGTTGCCTAACAGACTTGGCCAGGCCCATTATTTTAACAAAGAGGCTGGTTTGACCAGTTCAGCCGCCACTTCTACTACAAACTCCTTTCTTACAGATACAAGATTACAGACCTAGTTGGAAACCAGAGGCATCATCCAAACCATCCCATCCCATAACAGTACTTTTTCTTTTCTTTTCTTGAGAGTCATTAGTATATTCCTATGTAGATTTGATCAGTTAATCTATTAAGACTCACAGGATTGGTCGACTGAATTTCCTTTAATTGGATATGAGATTTACAAGTAATAGTAGTACCCATGATTCCGTGTAATTGCTTAATGTTGGCCGTTATTTTCACAACACACATTAAAAAAACGCCATAAAGTCATTCAGGGAAGTAAATGCCAGTGCAGCCAAACTGCTGAACTGAAGTTCTGATGTGAGACCCTTTGGGGGAGGAAAACATCCAAGCGATACTGAACATATAAGCTGTGTTGCTAAGGATATTAGTGTTCTGTGTTTTCCTTTTTGTTGCCTAGATGGAAGTCTGCTGATTCAGCATTCCCTTTTTGTTCGGCTGGTTACATCTATTGCCTTCTCAGGTTGCTTGTGACTTTTACTTAAGTCAGTTTCAGGCTGACAAGTCTTAACTAATTGATAAAATATTGATTTCTTTCTTCTTCTTTTAGTTTCAGTTTCAAAGTGATCAAACACATACTTCAAATTTAGCTTAATTGAAATGCTCTGATCACTGGGAGATGGAGAAATTAATAACCACAACAGGAAACTGTTAGATTTTTTTTTAGCGCAGTCATTCCTTTCAAGAAAGTCAAACATTTCTCCTTTCAAAGTTGCTTACTAAGGTTTCCAGTATGTTGTAACTTGCTAGAAAGACAGTCATTCTTTTTTTAAAAAAAAACCCCACAAAAACATTATTTGTGTTTTTAAAATTATTTTAATGGATTTATAAAATGTTTAATTTAAGCTTTTTACATTATTTGATTAGAAATCTGTATCTATACCAGACGTTTTCAGTCACAATAACACCATGTACATTTTTTTTGGGGGGGGGACCCTCAAACAACTGAACAAACAATGATGTATGACTGGTTATAAATAGATTGGACTGTCCCCAACATTTCTGGGAGTTCACCATGCAGAAGTATATCCTTAAATTCCCAATGATGGCGCAGATTATGAAGCATTCTGTCATCCAAGCACCATTTACATCTGCTGCCTTCAGGCTAGCCAACAGAGCAAGCTTGGATCATCAGAAGCTCTTTTTTCTGCATTACTCATCCTGTCCTAATCTGCAAGATCACCATTGCCAAAATGCCCACAGAAACCTCCTGCTAGCCTATGGTGATACTCACTTTTTAGCATACTGACACAATGGATACACTGGATATTTGCCCTAGCTCTGTGAACTTTCACCATGGCGAATAACATATTGCTGTTAAACTATGGATTTAATTGATCTGTAATTAAACAACCACAATGTGACACTGATTTGACATAATTTCGATGCTAAAGTAAAATATTGCATGAGCTGTGGTGTGTGTATGTGTGTTCTTAGCAGAGTGTGACTATATATTGATTGCAGTTGCAAATCTCTGGTTGGTGAAAGACAGGGAGGCAGAGGTCCAAGCACTTGTCAGCATCCACTAGTGATCATAAATATGATGTATCTTGCTGATTTAAATGCTATTCCATCTCTTTGCTGGACAGCTGGAAAGAGCCCGACGCTGTTTTGAATAACCTGGTGCATTGGCTGGTTTTGCTCTTGGTTAAAAATGCCTCTGAATATAAATTGCTTTTTATCCCCTGAAAATATTTATAGAAGTACTTATTCAAATTAAATTTGGCATTTTTACGTATTTAATGTTTAAACATGAGCTAACCATGAGACATATATATATATATATGTGCAGTGAACATTTGTGTAGAGATCAGCTATCTTCGCATAAAAACTCATTCGCTTGTCATAGAACACTGTATCAAGAGCTCAGGCGTCCATTAAGCACCCATGCTGAAATTTTGCTAACATCTTGGCAAAAGTTGCAATACAGTCCACAGTTGCTGATACTCTAGCCTTTGCAGGATCGCAGACGAAATGTTTTTATCCTCTCTCAAGACTTTATAATGGATAGGAGTAGACAACTTTGCCCGTATCTACAGATTCATGGTTAATTAAAGAAATTTATTGACTGAATATAATTATAATATATGCAATGTCTGCAATCCTATACCAACCTACCTGAAAGTAGTCCCTGTTGAACTCAATGAGGCTTACTTTTAGGTTTACTAAGGATGCAGGTGGCGCTGTCGTCTAAACCACTGAGCCTCTTGGGCTTGCCGATCAGAAGATTGGTGGTTCGAATCCATGCAACGGAGTGAGCTCCCGTTGCTCTGTCCCAGCTCCTGCCAACCTAGCAGTTAGAAAGCATGCCAGTACAAGTAGATAAATAGGTACCGTTGCAGCGGGAAGGTAAATGGCATTTCCATGTGCTCTGTTTTCCGTCACAGTGTCCCGTTGCACCAGAAGCGGTTTAGTCATGCTAGCCACATGAACCGGAAAGCTGTCTGTGGTCAAACACTGGCTCCCTTGACCTGAAAGTGAGATGAGTATCCCAACCCCATAGTCGCCTTTGACTGGTCTTAACCGTCCAGGGGTCCTTTACCTTTACCTTTTTTTACTTCTGAATAGAATGACACTCTCAATGAGGCAATGAAATTGGTGTAGGGCCACTTGTGACACTTAATCTACATGGTTTAACCGTATAGGGGGAAAGGGCTGTGTAAAAAGATCATATTGTGAAAATATTTAAATTGTCTATTTTATTGTGATTACCTTTGCCTGGGAGCCATTCTTCCAATAAATACCACGATATAACTTTTTATTTCCCCCCCAATCCCTTCCAATAGCCAGTCTCTGCAGTGGACCAACAGAATGTAGGGCATGGTGGCTTTTAAATAAATTGCAGGGAAGGAATATTTGCTCGGAAATTAATGCAGTAACTACTGTTCCAAACCGTGTGCCTTTTCCCTGAGCGTTTTCTGAAAATTAGTAACTCTTTTCTCATTCATGCCTCTAGCTTGAATGCTAATATGTACGATCAGCCAACATCTGACACTCTCCATACCAACAATTCTGGAGTTCATTTACAGAGAAAGTCATAACTCGGTTGTGTGTTTAAATGTGCAGTTCTGTTTTAGAGTGCATTTCTGAAGCATTCGAAAATATGATGAAAGGTAATTTGGAGGAATGCAGGAAAGGTGATTTGGACAAACATAAATCCTAGGGATTGGATCACAAGAAATGGATCTGAACAGTGTAGTTTCTATAAGTCAATATGGGAAGGACATGCTCGAGTCTAGTACGTTCTCAAGACAAAATTTTATTCTTGGCATATCTGCAATGGATTTTGCTCCATGATTCATCTGTCACTTACTGGGTTAAATCTCTGGTAAAGCCTCCTACAACCTACAAACGAACCTCTGAGTAACGTATTCTTCTTATTGAAGAACTTGTGTTCTTCTTCTGCACTTTTCTAAGAAATATGGTGGCCATAATTTTCCAGCTGGAATAATTTATTGACATATGTCCAGATTCTACAGTGAGGTACCCTTGATTTCATTCAACAGATTAAGGTTGGGAGGAATTTCATTTAATAATGGGCAAAACACAGTATTCTAAAACAACATCACTGCATGCTAGGGCTATCCTTAACTAAAACGGAAATAGACAGTTGTCAGGCTCCATCTGCTGGTAACAACATGTAAAGTAGGCTCACCTCACCCACTGTAGCCCTTGGGCCAAATGTGAATTTAAAGTTGTCAAACAAGTTGTGAAAGGCAGGGCGCAGAGGGCTGTAGCAACATAACTTCACTTGCAGGTTATGTTGGAGGGTGGAGCTGTCCCCAGATACCTTTTCAAAGTGGTTGCTAGAAACATGTGAGTGAAGTCACTCCCTCAGGCAGAGTGGCCAAACACATGATCTGGGGATAAACGAAGAAGTCCCTGCTCCAAATGCCACCCTTTATGGGTTTCTGGGTGTCATCTAAAAGGAGCAGGGTCTTATCTGTAGTGGCTCCCAATTTACAGAAGGCTCTCAATAGGTCCATTGATCCCCTTCTCTTGTTTTCTTTCAGAAGCAAGTAAAGCACTCCCATTCTTCCAAGCTTTTGGAAACTGAATTGTCTTTTGCTATTTGTTTCTAATGTTGTTGTTGTTTAAAAAGTTTTTATGATGTAAATCACCTTGGAAACTGTGTTGAAAGGTGCTATATAAATGGTGTATAGAAATAAGTGTGGGTCCACCAGCAAAAGTAGTTGCTGAGCAGGATTGTAAAGCAAGGACTGGCATTCACCACTGGAAATCTGTTGCAAATCTAATAAATAAATGAAATAATTCACTTCAGGTATCACTTTCCTCAGGATAGTGATGCCTTCTAGATGTTCCATGTTGGGAATCCCAGTACTAGGTCTTAGTATCTGGCCCTATGGATGCAATCTAACCATATTCCAAAGCTTCACGTGGATCACTCCCTGTGATTTATTAATGTATTATTATTCACCCCCCAGAACTTTGGGGTAGGATAAAAACCCACATAAGCACAGACTGCTCATTGTAAAGAGCTTGGGCAATTTGTTTATAAGCCAAATATCAGTGGTACAAAGACTTCATCATTAACCAGAAGAGACTGCTAGCCTGATTTAAATGTTGTGCTTCATAGGTTTTCTGGCAAGGGAAGCTTTTTAACTATTGACCCTGTACACAAATCTAAGCCTATTATAAAGTGATAGCTGTCATAAGGACGGCTAGCCAGATTCATTTTAAATGGCTGTTGAGTGTTCATCTTTAATGAAACCTTGAAACATCTGTTTGTGGTGAGCTGTGAAGCATTTCTGTAGCTCACGGTCATTCTGTCTTGTATGTTTTTTTGTAGTTAGGTTAAAAAAAAAAATTAAGAGCCCATGTCTGGAATCTTGATCTAGGATTTAGCCTCTGGGGTGCTAATGCTACCATTGGCATTGCAGACATAAACTGCGTAATTATGCTGCAGTGATGTTGTCTCTAGCCTGAGTGGATGAGCTGCAGCCTGTGCAATCCGATGCTCCCCATACCTCTGGGAATTCACTCATAGCTTGAAATTAATCTCTTACAGCTGCTTTGGTAAAGCAGGTGAAAAGTGAAAATAATTATCAAAGCTCTGTGACCTCTTATAATTGTGTGAAATCCACAGAATATGGGCTGACAGAGGTCGCTAACGTAGCTTGCAGTTTGCTGAAATGACATGCTGCTTAAAATAGATAGCACTGGGGTTTCTTCTTCTTCTTCCCCTTTTTCTTTTCTTGAAAGGGTAGGTAATCAATTCTGCAGGCTAGGGAACAGTCCCCTCTTTTCAAGCCATCCCGTGAATGAATGGCTCGTGCCGCAAATTCAAAGGCCTAAAAACACACAATCAGTGATCCCCTAGATCTGCATGAACACTGAGGTTTTCTGCTTGTTTTGTCTCTGATCCTGTCAAACCCATAAATTGCTTTTTAAAATTATGCCAGGTTTTAAAGAAAGCAGTTACAGTTCTTCATGGTTAAAGAACAAATGGGTGTGGGTATGTGTGTATTGAGTGCATGTGTATGAGGCTATGCATGCCAACAGATCACCTATGCAAATTATGCTCATGTTCCCTCCCTCCTCCACTTACAGTTTTGTTATTGCAGGCATTTCTGATTCATGTGCCCCAACCTCTGTCCAGTATCAGCAATTATATTTCACCATTTCATGTAATTCATTGTCTTCATCTTGACCAAGCATAGAAACATGCTTTTATAGACATTATAATGGGCATTGTTTATATTTTTTTTTCCTGGATGAAGCTGATTATTTGGATCCCTTTCAGTCTAGCTTCCATCCTGGTTTGATACCGAAACTGCCTTGAGCTGTGCACGCGCTATGCCATTAAAGCACATTCAAAGCACATTCTTTCCCTCAAAGAATTCTGGGTACTGTAGTTTGTTAGTGGTTGCTGGGAACTGCAACTCTGATAGGGGTAAACTACAACACCCAGAATCCTTTGTGAGGAAGAATGTGCTTGGATACTCTGGATGACTTGCACCGGGAGATTGGTGGGGCAGTTCATCCCTTTGGATTCTCAGTAGCATTCAGTACCATGCATGATGTCTTCTGGGTTATCTCTCGTGAGTGGAGTTGGGGAACACTACAACTAGCATTGGTCAATTGTGTGTTCAGACCTTTAAACCTCCCCTTCAATAAATTCAGACAAGACTCAGATTTTGGTTTGGTTTTTGGCAGAATTTAGGCCACAACTTTATTGATTACAGCAAGTGAGTGCTTGCATAGGCTCTGGTTCGACTAGCTCCCTGCCATGCAGGTAGCGCTGACCCAGGGCACCAGCATAGGTCAGCCTAGGGTGAAACCTGGATAAGCGGAAAGCTGGGAACAGGCTATCTCCGCCACCCAAATGCCTCCCTAGACTCAGGCACAGGCACAACCCCTCACAGGGGTTGACTAAACCATTGAGTCCCTGGATTCCTTTAACGGAATACCCTTCACATAGGGATGGCGAGAGCGTTTTCCCATCCCTATCACCTGAGCAAGAGCCTATTCATAACCTTACAAGTTGTGACGATTTGCTACGCAGCAGGCGAAACCCAAATGGCACCAGCCAATCAGCCAAGTGGGGAAAATTCCTGCCGTGCCCCTGTCCCAACGACAGATGACACACGATGGCATAGCAAGGTCAAGCGCACAGCCCTAAATATAGGGAGAGGTGGGCTGATGTTCCGAATGCACGTGCTGAAAGAGGAAGCTGCATAGGTATAAACTTGATCTGTTTAGCGTGCATCCCATCGGCCTGATTAAACCCAGCATCAAGGGACCTACCAATTGGGTGTTGTGGCTATCCAATCATATGCACCCACAAGACAGGGTTTGGTTGCCAGGTCTCACCACAACACGTGCCCTCTTTAAGGGAGGACCTGATTTCTAAGAGCCAGGAGCCAAAAAGTTGTTAAGAATTACTGCTGGCCAGCCTCACAGCCATTGCCCTATGGGATACGGCAAGAGTCCATCTTGCCCCGTGTGCTTTTTAACACCTGCGTTAAATTACTGAGTGGGACCAGAGTGTTACCACCAGCATGCTAATGATACTCAGCTCCAGTGCTATTTTTCTAGAAAAAGAGGTGCTGGAACTCACCGTGAATGCCTCAGTTGTTCTCTTAAAATGGCAACGGCACCCATCTGAGAGGTGATGGAACTGAGTCCCTCCAGAAAAAAAGCCCTGTTCAGCTCTGTCTCTCACTTTTATCAGATCCTAAGGAGATAGTGGAAATCATAAACTGAAATGTTGGGGCAGTAAAGAAAGGGATGAAGGAGAACAAACTGACACTTCATCCAGATAAGGTGGAAGTATTTTCCATAGTATTTGTTAAGTTGTGGGCGAACATATCAGACGACACAGTGATTCTTCCAAAGCAGCTCTTTATTTGTAAGCTGGACAGAACTGAACAGCAAACAGCTCAGCAGCCGGCTGTCAACATTGTATCAACAACAACCCAGGGTTTCCCGCCTAAAATAACTGACGTGGACCTGAGTGAAAACTATCTACACGATACTCCTGGTGGCCAGGGTGAGAACTTCAATACATAACACCCCTCCCCACCGAGATAAGGCGTTAGTTACAATCGTAATGGTTTCCTTATATACAGCACTACACGTAATGGTTCAATTAGGCACAAAGCATATCGGTTACATTTCACATACTTCCATTAGACCAACAGTTTTACATGTCCAATAACATAGTCCTTTAAATACGGTCTACTGGCCTTGTGGATTTCCTGGGCGGAGAGTTCAACAGCTTCTGAGGCCATGGCCTCTTCAGTGGCTTTCTGCAACGTGAGTTCTGGCTTGGCAAGGAGACACCGTTGCAGATGGATGTCCCGGACCCCGCAGACGATTTGATCCATCAGGGCATCATCTAAGTCTCGGAACTCGCAGTGCATTGCAGCCTGTCGGAGGGCGGTGGTGTAGTTGTTGATTGACTCCCCCTCTGCCTGGTTCCGGTGGTAGAACACATGGCGGGCAGCAATCTTGGACGGCTTTGGGGCGTAGTGGTTGCGGAGCTTCTCTTGAATCGTGTCCCAAGGTGCTGCCTGGACTGCTAGAGGCGCAACCAATGCTCGGGCCGTCGCGAACACTTCGAGGCCACAAAGGCTGAGGAGAGGCCCCGCTTCTGCTCTACCCTCTTGTCAGCTCATTTGCTTGGAGGTAGCAGCCAAACCGAGCGAGGTAGGAGTCCCATGATTCAGAGGCTGGGGCAAACGGCGGTAGAGGCACAAGTGAAGCCATGGTTCCGATGCCGACGTGGAGGCGATGGATGGAACACCGTGCTCTAGCCAGAACGGTCAGCTCTGAATTGGTTCTGCTCCGTGATTTCGCTCAGTGTTTCAGCTCAGTGATTCAGCTCAGTTCAGAGGGTGGCTGCATCTGGCTGTGCTCTGATGTCCATCCATCCCATCCTCGTCGCCAGTGTTAAGTTGTGGGCGAACATATCAGACGACACAGCGATTCTTCCAAAGCAGCTCTTTATTTGTAAGCTGGACAGAACTGAACAGCAAACAGCTCAGCTGGCCTGCTTTTATAGGCAGCCGGCTGTCAACATTGTATCAACAACAACCCAGGGTTTCCCGCCTAAAATAACTGACGTGGACCTGAGTGAAAACTACATATACAATACTCCTGGTGGCCAGGGTGAGAACTTCAATACATAACAGTATTTTAGTTTAACCAGCAGCAGGAGTACAATGACCTGCCTTCAATGGCGTCGCACTGATAATAGGTTTGCGCCTTGGGAGTGCTACTTGATTCAGTCCTGCTTTTGAATACTGAAATGATAGTAGTGACTAGGGATGCTTTTTTAAGCAGCCTAGTCTGGCATGGTGGCTATACCCCTTCCAAGAGAAGAAAGACTTGGACACCGAAATTCAGGTCTTAGCAGCGTTCTGACTATATCGCTTATAAGACAATTTATGTGAGGCTGTCCATGAAAAGTGTGTAAAAAAATTCTGTGAGAAAATGCTGCCACCTGTTTCTTACCTGGAGACTATTAGACAGAGCAAAAGACTCCGGTATTAATTTATTTTCATTGTCTACTTGTTAATTTCTAGGCTCAATTCAAAGTGCTTATGTCCCAAAACCTATCATAGATCAACTGTCATAAAAAGAGTCTTAATTCAAAAGCCTTCAAGAGAGGTAAGCTTCATTTTGGTAACAACATCTTGTTTGTTAAGAAATGAATATATACATTATTTTCCCCTTCCCCTCCTTTTGTTTTGTTTTGAGAAATTAGGCTTGTTCCATGATTTTTTTGTTTGTTTCAAAGAAACCTCCATGTTAAATAATAAGTTAAACCATAAGTTCATATTTGTTTGCTTATTTATACAGCATTTCTATCCAATCAGAGGCCCTCAGAACGGCTTACATAAGAAGAGTTTGATATCCCGCTTTATCACTACCCAAAGGAGTCTCAAAGCGGCTAACATTCTCCTTTCCCTTCCTCCCCCACAACAAACACTCTGTGAGGTGAGTGGGGCTGAGAGACTTCAAAGAAGTGTGACTAGCCCAAGGTCACCCAGCAGCTGCATGTGGAGGAGCGGAGACGCGAACCCGGTTCCCCAGATTTCGAGTCCACTGCTCTTAACTACTGCACCACACTGGCTCTAGTTCTAAGCCAGTTCTAAGATGGATCTCAGGCTCAGAGCAGAAAAATACATGGCATACAAGGAAAAACAAGTGGGAGGGAGGAGATAAAAGCAAGCTCAAGTTCTTAATGTTACAGTTCTTGAAGTTATAGCTGATTTCAGTGGCACTTCTGGGCTGTCTTGCAGTCCCTGCCCTCACCCCCAGATCAGATCCAACAACAACAGAGCAACCTTCAGGCCAGGAAGACAGGGTTAGCTCCTGCCACACAGTGCTTCCCTCAGACAACTGACTTGATGGCAGCTAGAATCCTGAAAGGAGGGAGCTTGATGGGGTTACCCTCCTCCCTTGCCAAAGTCAGTGGTGGTTTTCTGGCTGTCTCTCTGCCCCATCACTAAGTACTCTTCTCCCTAGATCAGATCTAGGAGCAGTGCTAGCGACAATGTCCAGGCCAGTAGAACACAGTAGTGCATGTTATCATTGCTAATGCCCATGCATGCCAGCATTTTAAAGGTTTGTGTTCGCTAATAGTTATTTTAGTACTTTCCATGTTGCACAATTCTTAGCTTCTCTGCACAGGTCCTCATGTAGCCCTTTTAATAATTGGAAGGGGTGATTGTAAGGCTATTCCCTTTCTCATACAAATGTCCAGCATACCTGAAGGAGTGTCTCCACCTCCATTGTTCTGCCCGGACACTGAGGTCCAGTGCCGAGAGCCTTCTGGCGGTTACCTCGCTGCGAGAAGCCAAGTTACAGGGAAGCAGGCAGAGGGCCTTCTCGGTAGTAGCACCCGCCATGTGGAACGCCCTCCCACCTGATGTCAAAGAGAACAACAACTACCAAACTTTTAGAAGACATCTAAAGGCAGCCCTGTTTAGGGAAGCTTTTAATGTTGAATAGGTTATTGTATTTTAGTGTTTTGTTGGAAGCCGCCCAGAGTGGCTAGGGAAACCCAGCCAGATGGGCGGGGTATAAATAAAAAATTATTATTATTATTATTATTATTATTATTATTATTATTATTATTCAAAACTTTTTCTGCTCCTGCCGCCCACCCACTTTGAAGGAGGTGTGTTTTTCCCTGCCAGCAATCCCACTGGCTGTTTGTTTATTTGGGGGAAGAGGTATCTTTCTCCCACTGAAGGGCTAGCTCCCTGCAGAAAGATTCTCCTCCTCCATTATGTCTGAACAGTTTTCATGCTGTCCCCGGAGAATCAGGGATAATACAAGCATAGTGTAGTACAGGAAGCTGATGTCTGTGCTGCTAAAAAAAAAAGTAAATCAGCCCTTGTACAAGCTCTTGGTCTCAAGCAACAATCAGCTCATAGTGGGTAGAAAATCTTTGCTTTCTGTGTCTATGGTACATGTTTGCAATGCAGCTTTTGCACTGATACCAGTCAATTTGTGATAAAAAACTACCCCACCACTCAACACTTCATTTCAGAAAATTAGCCCAGATCTTCTGACTCCATGATTCCAATGTCTTTTACTTGCCTGAAGTGTGAACCATGATAGCTGCAATCAACAAGGGGATAACAAGCTGGCAAGCAGGAGATGGTTGAATTTCTTACCTGATTGAAAAAATCTGCAGTGCTTTGGAAATTCACAAAGCACTGAATGTGTACAGTAACTTTGAGAAATATTCAAAGATTATCTTACTAACTCAGTTTTTTTTAAAAAAAGAAATATTGCTCTACAGCATCTGGTAGAGTCATTGTTGGAAAGAGGATAATGAGCTAAATGTTTCATTTACTATGGTAATTCCTTCCTTTCTCTCAAAGTGAAGTTTATTCATTCATTTGGTGTATCCATCTAGAATTCTCAAGACAGTACATTTTTTTTGTAGCTTATATGTATGCAGTACACTAATTTGACTTGATCCTAGAATTTGATTAGAGTCTAAAAAACCTTGCAGTTGGATATAGAATCTAGGAACTTCTTCAAAAGCGTGACATTATAAAAAGCTACACTTATATTCTACCTTTGTTGCCTTTGTGCCTTTCAGGTCATTTTTACTGAGAGAAGATCTGTTTCTGGTGGTTCTGAAAAAACAGTGGATGACCCTGTAAAGGCAACAGTAGATGCATAGGAAATGGAAAGATGTCTAGGCTATAAAATCCAGTAGCTCTTGGGTGCCAAGCTATTTCAACAGGAGCGCATTCATGCTTTCACATGAAGGGGGAAAGTGGCAGGTATCAATCAAGATGAGATCATCAAGATGCCAAGCAAGCAATATGGAAGAACAACAGGACAACAGCGCGATGGTTCCGAAATTTCAGTTGCTCTCTGATGGAGCTGTAGGCAAAAGCAGCATAATGTAGGGGTCATGGGTGCAGGTTTGCATCTGAATGCATATCCAGTTTAAAATAATGTACTGTGGATAGGCCATTTCCACATTTGGATCCATGTTCAGATCCACATGCATATTTAGCATCTGTACACATCAAAGGTAAATGTATAGTTCTTGATTTAGCAAGGGATACACATGTATGGATCTCCTTATCAGGACTGAAGTGATAATCCCAGTTTCCTAAGGTAATAAGCATGATCCAGTTCACTCAAACACACATATGTGCATCTTGCATTGAACTGGGCTACTATAGCATGATGTTCAATATCTCTAAGCTATAGTTAAGAAATCAAAGACTGCTCCCTCGCTCTGGACCCCCTTCCATCTGCAGTGAATTCTCCCCTCCTTCATCCTTAACAAGGAGCAATGTCCTGTGGTATATTCAGTAAGTATTGAGATAACTGATCTTTGGGAAACAGTACAAATTCCGTAGGTACGGTATATGGGAATTTCTCAAATCGGTTTATTGTAAACTGGGCGGGGGAAGGGGCTTTTGTGCAAACTTAACTGAGAGTAACGAAAGCTACACAGTGACTCAGCCTGTTGGATTGCACCTTATGCTATCAAATTTCACCATCCACTTTGTGCTGAGCAAAATAAAAGGAAGGCATGAGAAACCATTTCAGCCTCTTGAAGTGGTCTCAACAGAACTGCCAAGGACTTGTACAAGGGAGGTCTTTAACGTAACCATGAAAATTAAATACGAGAGTCCATTGTGAGGAGAAGAAACATATTTTTTTATTTTTGGGGATCAAATTTTGATCCAAACGTAATTGCATCCAACAATTCCAACCCCACCCCCCAACACACACACACACACACACACACACACACACACACACAGACTTAAAGGCAGAACTTTGACTGAAGAGCCATTAACTTCTTCCTGTTTGCCTGAATGCCTTTGTGTCTTGAAGGAGGAGAAAGAAGTTCTCTTTTCCATGTAATGAAATAATGTATTTATATTCCAGCTATTAGTTTTGATTTGTTTACTCCTTCAGTCTAGTTGCGGCCACACAACAGCAGTTTAAAAGGCAGAGAAGAACCTGTATCCAACTTGCTTTAAGATCAGTGGAGGAAACTTTCAAAAAAGAGAGAGTGAGGGAGAGGCTAATACCCATATTGGCTGCAATCGCTCACAAAGCTTAATTTGGCCTCATAGAATTTTAATAGTAGGCTTAGCAAAATTTCCCAGTTCTTCATTTCTCTTGAACAACACCATTCTCTATCATTAAAACCCCACCTGAGGCCTTTAAAAAGAAACGTATTAAAACTACAGGGGCAGTTATGGAAAGATCTAACCTGTAATTTACTCCCTATATTTAACACTGAGGGGTTTAGGGTCACCTTGAGCAGGAAAGTATATCTCTAAACTATCCCACTTAATAGATGCCCTATTGAGACTCACTATCCTCCCACTTAATCTCGTTTTGTAATGCATTCCTAACCATAAGAATCACTCTCAGGTGCCTCATAAATAGCCTTTTGGGAAGTATTGATGAGTTTGCTGAACACAACCGAGGATTTGAAATAATCTTCACACTAATGAAGCAGAGGAAGTGGGGAGGACAAGACCCAATGGACCAGCTGTAGAGGAAAATGCTTACTTATATTTAAACTTGTGTGGAATCTTCATTAGGCAGGGATGCCCTATTTCATCATCATCGTCATCATCATCATCGTCATCATCACTATCATTTTATTATTTATATCCCACTCATCTGACTGGGTTGCCCCAGCCACTCTGGGTGGCTTCCAGCATATATAAAAGCATAATAAATCATCGAACACTTTTAAAAAATCTTCCCTACACAAGGCTGCCTTCAGATGTCTTCTAAAGGTTGTATAGTTACTTATCTCCTCAGCTTGTGGGTCACAAAACTCCATACCCTCCAACATTTCTCCATTTAAAATAGGGACATCCTAAGGAAAAGTGGAACATTCCAGGATCAAATCAGAAACCAGGACTCCTTCTGTAAATCCAGGACTGTCCCTGGAAAATATGGACACTTGGAGAGTCTGGCTGAGTGCAAGATGGCAGCAGGCCTCTCCTTGTTGGTAGTTGCCAGGTTAACAGCTCACACTCTGGTCTTCTGAGTCAAGTGTTGGGGATGAGCAGCTATAACTCACTCAGCCCATGATAGAAGCAACAGGCCTCTTCTGCTTCAGATCGTGGATGATTAGAAGCCATTGACAAACATTTATTCTGTGAATTTGTCTAATCTACTTTAATCCATCCTATGGCAGCGAATTTCGTAACAGAATGTAATCCTTTCCCTTTCCTGCTGCTGCTGAATAATTTGAACCATAGCCCATACATCTGGGAATAAATGAAATAATTTCCAGACCAAAAGGCTTTACTTATAAGTGGGCTTGTGATCTGGCTCCTCATCTCTAAGAAATTAAGCGCCATTTCTATAGTAAATCTATATGGCGTAGACATGCTGCACTGTAAAGCGGAATTCTCTACATCACTTATTTCTCACATTTTTTTTTCTAAGTACATCTTTCTGACCCAATGAAATTATTCAGTGCCAGAACATCTCTTCTCATTGTTTTCTTATGTGGCTGTAAAATCAGCAAGGAAATGGTTTGATGTAGCCAATTTAATTTTACATCTTATCTTAGGTAGGGCATAGGGAGAGGGCAGCCTTTCTTTTTGTACTTTGCGATGTTCTTTTTTATCCTTACAGCTTTGATGAAACTGTGAAAGAGGATGGCTGTAAATTGAAGGATGATGTAAATACCATCCTTCAGACCAAAGCGCTGGACTAGGGAATAATGCCATTCATTTCATCTCAGCTGTTTCAGTTGTATTTCACTCACTGATTTGTCGTACATCTATAAATTTATATTCACGGGGCATAACAAATGGTTCACAGAATTGGGGATGAGCTGCAGAGCCTCTACTCTCCAGTCACCAGCCCGAAGCTCACTTGGACTCTTGTAGTTAGCAAAACTAATTGAAATTTGAGGAATGTTTAACCAACGTAACATTGAAGGGGCCAGTGTAATTGCCATGCTTGATGGCTACTTCAGCAAGATCCAAGAATTTAAACGAAGGTGACTTTTCAAAGATGGTGCCTCCAAATGAATTAAAAATACAGTATTATTGAGATTTTTTGTTCTTTAGCAAGGATAACTTTACTCCCACTGTCACCCTCTATCCTCCCAATTTTATATTTCGGTTTGATTTTGACATTAACATTTTTAGTATATGTTACTATTGTAATAGGTTATTTTTAATATGAGTGATAATTTCAAACCCATTATTGTGTTTTATCTCCACAACAACCCTGTGAAGTAAGGTCAGGGTTATTTCACTTCCACTCAAGAGAGTGCAAGGCTGTGAAATAAACAAATCAGCCAACACAGCCATATCCATTCATTACTGAGGTGGGATTTGAACCCATTTCCAAATCTAGTTTTTTATCCAACAAGATCAGAGGTAGTGCTCAAGGACTCTCAGATCTTGCAGAGGTCAAAATGCCTGTCTGAATACAAGACTTCTCCTTCTCCTTCCATATATTTATATCAAGGTGATGTATGAAATTTAAGAAAAGCAATTAAAAGCAGTTTAAAACAACACAAAAATAAAGATGGATCTTTGACAATAATACAAAATGGACATCCACAGCAGATACCTATTTATCCAGCTGGGAAAGCTTGTTTGAACAAAAATGTTTTCTATTGTTTCCAGAAAGTGCAGAGAGCAAGTTCCTGTCCTATCTCAACAGGAGTCTTGTTCCACAGAACAGGGGCAACCACACGGAAGGCCCTGCTCCAAGTTACTGTGGCGCTTCCATCCGTACAGTACCAGGTATATGCACTTCATTGCTAATATTAACAATAATAATGAGATCCTGTGATGTCTACGAAGGACGGTTGCTACACCAGCAATTACACTGATGCAATCTAATCAGCATCCTGTTCCTAGACAATAGTTTGTGACCTGCATTTTCTATGGAGGTCTTTATTTAGTTGCTTCCTAGTCACTGTCCCTTTCCCTTTGCAAGATTGTGACTGATGAACATTCACTGTATGTGCCTGTGGCATGCTCCCACATGTAGGTTGTGTGGGCAGTGTGTGGCATGTCATTGTGTGTCTACCTGTACTCATGTGGGAGGAGTTTGATTTCGTTTCCTTTGAAAAGAGGCCTTAGGAAGATTGTGGTATTTTGTATTTATGCACAAATACAAGGTTGCACATAGGTGAAGGCATAGTTTAAGCCAGTGGCCCTCCAAATGATATTGGACTACAACTCCCATCATCCCTCGTTAGGGCTGACTAGAGTTGGTGTTCAACAACAGCTGGACGGCTACACTCCATATGTGAGTTAAACATTCAAACAGACACTCAAAGACCACTTCTTCCAGGGAGACAGCTAGTAGCCCAAAATGTTGCTAGCTTTTCATAGCCCAGCGCTTGGTTCTCGGACTCTTTACAGATCCACACCATACATTCAAAGCACATCCAATGCACATTTAAAGCAAATGACTTCCCCCAAAGAATCCTGGATACTGCAGCTTCCCCCTCACAGAGCTACAATTCCCTGTCCCCTTAACAAGTCACAATACCCAGGATTTTTTTTGGGGGGGGGAAGTAATCTGCTTTAAATTTATGGTTTTGTAACAGATCTATTCTCAGGCTGCCTCAAAATTTTGCTTTTGTTTCCTTCTTGAGGCTCAGAAAACTTGATGACAGCCAAGGGATGGAGGAAGGTGAGCTTCCTTCTACAAAATGGCTCTCCCACTTAGGAAGAGTCTCTGGCTATTTCTTAATTGATCCGAAAGATGGTGTAACAGTTAGTTCCCATGGCAACATATCACCCTGTTTTACTAACAAAAGAACATGCCAGGCTAGGCCTGGCTCACTGGTTTTACCACTTTAGCAATCTTCCTTTTGCTCAGATTCCAGTATCAGAACAACAGAATCATAGTGTGAAAAGGCACCTTTGAAATGATCTGTTCCAACCCCCAATTTCATAACAATTCTCATCTTTTATGGTCTACATCTTACAGTTTTTGCCATGCAGCTGGCTTCTATTTTCTGTTGAGAATTCGGGTGTTGTCGTGGGGCCACCATTCCTCTCTGATCTATTCCCGTTATGCCTGTTCCCCCAAATCCTGCAAACTTTGCAGGCATCAGCATATAAATTCCTGTATATTGATAACATTATATTGAGGCCATCAATGAACCTATATTATTAAATCAGCAGTAACAATCTGTATTGAATACAGGGGATTTACTCTGTTACAATACAGTGGTAACTTGGTTTGCGAACTTAATCTGTTCTGGAAGTCCCTTCTTAAACCAAGGTGTGCTTTCCCATA